GAACTGTTGTAATTCGAGGACTACCTGTACATATGAAACTTGGCTCGCTTGCCTGCAGCTCGCCTCCAGCTGTTAATCCAGTTCCTAACAGGCCATGGACTGGTAGCGGTTTGTGGCCCAAGGGTTGGAGACCCCTGCTCTAAAGGGGTGATGGTCAAGGTATGAGCTGCTGTTGCCAAGGTATCCTGGTACAAGTGGGTTGGTAGCTAGCATTTTCTGAACTTTAAAAAAACAAATAGGTAGAGATCCTAGTGGTCCAAAGGAATCCATTCCTAACTTATTCTTAGTGTAGTAAACTACAGTGCTGGGTGCTTTACTCACCTGCCTCTTAGTCAGCCCGTGAGGAGGACGTCCTGGCCTTCCACACCTCTGCTGTTGACAGTACCAGTTGCTGATTATCTTTGAAATGCTAGGAATGTACGAGTGGAGCCCAGCCCTGGATGGAAGAGACCAGAAGGCCTCCTACTTGCCAAACGGTATGCATAGTGTATGTTCAGAAATGGGAAAGTGTCTTTCCCCACCGAATTTGAAGGCCACAGTAAAACTTAGACCCTCACCTGCTTGAGATTGAGGTTCTGCATTCTAGGGGCTCCAAGGATCTTACCGGTATTTTCAACGTCCAGGTAGGTCTTTGGAATTTTACAGTTACTTCCTTGTACTTTCACAGACTGGGTGATTCTGCTTTGCCCATGGAGACTGTGTGTGTGTGTAAGGAAGCTGGTTCTTGTGTTTGCTGTCTACTCTGCCTTTAGCGCAAGACGAGCTCCTACCAGCCAGAGCAGACCAGAGGATAGAATTAGGTGGACTTTGTAATTCTTTTATTCTAACTAACCTGTAGCCTCTGGAATTAGTAGAAAAATCGGAGGAGTTAGGGATGAAGAGGAAGAGGTTGAAAAATCAAGGCACAATTTGTTGAGTGATCTAATTAAAGGGCCCGGTAGAAAGCCATTTGTTGCTTGGGATTGCTATTACTCCTTCTTAATTGTTTAATTAGGCCACTATTGCACTTGTGACCCAACACTGCTTCATTCTTGGTTACAGCTCTCATTAACCAAGAATAAGGTAGTGTTGGCTCACAAATTCTGTAGTGGCTTGCCTTCTGTGGGTGGAGAGGGGATAGCATCTTGACTCTCTGCTAGATTGGCATGACGGAGCTATTTGTTGAAAAGATGTATTGGCTGAGTGCTGGTTAACTTGGTCTGGATGACACCCAAATCTATGGGGCAGTGGGAATAAGTAGGTAGAAGGCAGTTTTTCTGTATGGTAGGCTATGTCAGGCTGTAGCCAGGCAGTTGTTATTCAGATGTCAAAGCTCTTGGCCAGAAGTAAATTGACTTTGGTGTTGGTAATGCACCATTTGCTCCATTACCTGTTTTTTTTCCTCCTTCCATCAGTCAGAATTTTTTTTAAAAAAAGAGTTAGATTTAGAATAATTTCATGTAATCCATCTTGTGAGGAGGCCACTTGGTTTTGATTGCTTGATACTATAAAAACACTTGTTTTTAGAGCATTACCTCCTTCTCAATCCCCACTGTGGACTGGAAGACATGTTGACTTTCATTTTCCCTTTCCAAATGATCTTTCCTAAATTAAGGGACTTTTTGATCTTGTTTGCCTTCTTTCTAACTTTGGAAAAGGAAATACTTTGTGATTTGCCCTTTGCAGAACACCTCCTCTTTTTATGTCATCTCACAAAGTGCCCAATAAGGATGTAGACCTACGAGTAAACTGTTTCTGTCTCGATCTCTGGCTAAGAACCAGCAGAATCAAAACAAATAACTGGTCAGGAAAGGAAAATCAGTAGAAAACAATGAAAGAATATTCTGGACAGAAGCAAAACAAAAATATGCAATAGAGACACTTGAACGATTGACTGTTTAGTAAAATAATTGATAAGGAAAGCACCAGTACTGAGTTGCAACAAATACAGTGTAAACAAACATCTCGATGGATACATGTAGGAAATGCATAAAATAAATCCCTCTGTCTATAATTAGACTAGATTTACAGGTTATGCTTGATAGGAAACTGTAGCAATATTACTTCCTGTTATGTCATCGGTGAACTTTAGTCAGTTCCTAAAACACACCTCATCAATCATCATTACGGCTGAAACTAATATGGCGTGATGTGATGCTCTCTTTTATTTTGCCGTTCAGTTCCTGCCATTGGGCGAAGGTGTTCCCACGTGAACTGCCTTGTCCAGAACTGAACGTGTGTTGTAGTTTTTTGCGAACCTGCAATACCAGTGGACACAGAATCCCCAAAGCCTTTTTAACTACTTTGGGTAGTTTTCTATTTTAGAAACTAAAATAGAAGCCGAAAGGATGTGCCGTGCTTAGAAGTGAAGAATTGCATACCTTTGCTTATTAGAGTATGACCAAACGTTGAAATAAGGGAATCTGGGTATCAAATAAAGGAAATATTTGACTTGCAACCATTTGTGTAGTGACAATTTGAAGTTACAATAGCCCTTGAAAAAGTGCCTTACGACTCGTCCTCGCAGTTACACCTGCCACAACATTCCCAGGGCCATGTGATCAAAATTCAGGCACTTGGCAACTGGCGTGTATTTATGACGGTTTCACACTCCCGCGGTCATGTGATCACCATTTGCGACCTTCCCAGCTGGCTTCCCACAAGCAGTCAGTGGGGGGGGGAGCCAGATTCGCTTAGTGACCGCATGATTCCCTTAACAACTGCCGTGATTCGTTTTAACAACCATGAGCAAAAAAAAAGGTCGTAAAATTGGGCACAACCCACTTAGCAATGGAAATGGCTGTAAATCGAGGACTCCCTGAAAGCCAGTTGATGGAGTGTTGGATCTTATTTTTGTTCCCCTGTTCCTTGTCTTTGCATCTTGGCAAGCTCAGCCCCACCCAGCAGATAATTCAGGAAGAGGCGGAACTCTCCCAGCTGAGAACTGGTGATTGTAAATATTGATGGGAAAATAATAGAGTGCTTTTGGCCCCGTCCTTGTTACTGACTCATTTTCATCCCTGTTGGGTCTAAATTTGCCAGACAGCATGAGGTGTCTGAGGATATGTTTGCAGAGCCAGTTGGGGTGTTTTCTCCAGAATCCTGCTTAGTTGATGATAGCTTCGTGCCTGTTGCTCTCCTCTTCCAGGGAGGGATTGAATTCTCTCGCTGGTCTGTGAGTAGGCAACCTTGGCTCGTTTATGACTCGTGGACTTCAACTCCCAGAATTCCTGAGCCAGCATGGGGGAATTATGGCCTCTTCGTGACTTGTGGACTTCAACTCCCAGAATTCCTGAGCCAGCATGGGGGAAACTTTGATCCCTTCATGACTTGTGGACTTCAACTCCCAGAATTCCTGAGCCAGCATGGGGGATCTATGGCCCCTTCATGACTTGTGGACTTCCCAGAATTCCTCAGCCAGCATGGCTCAGCTTGGAAACCTCTCCCTTTCCCCTCAGCGTGGCTGACTCGGGAATTCTGGGAGTTGAAGTCCACCAGTCGTAAAAGAGCCAAGGTTGCCTACCCCTGCCCAAATGCCTGAATTTTGATTACGTGACTGTGAGGAAAAATATTTAAATATTTAAACTAGGGGTCTTCAAACTTGGCTCTTTTATGACTCGTGGACTTCCACTCCCAGAATTCCTGAGCCGGCATGGCTCAGCTTGGAAACCTCTCCCTTTCCCCTCAGCATGGCTGGCTCAGGAATTCTGGGAGTTGAAGTCCACCAGTCATAAAAGAGCCAAGGTGGCCTACCCCTGCCCACATGCCTGAATTTTGATCATGTGACTGTGAGGAAAAATATTTAAACCAGGGGTCTTCAAACTTGGCTCTTTTATGACTCGCGGACTTCCACCCCCAGAATTCCTGAGCCAGCCTGGCTCAGCTTGGAAACCTCTCCCTTCCCCCTCAGCATGGCTGGCTCAGGAGTTCTGGGAGTTGAAGTCCACCCGTCATAAAAGAGCCAAGGTGGCCTACCCCTGGGTTAGGCAGCAACTCTTGATGATGAGTGTGGAGATTGGAAAGGATGCCTTTGTCTGTAAGCCATAAAGGACAGTGCATGTATAGGTACTCCTCAAATTACAGCGGTTCATTTATGCTCAATGTTACAATGACACTGAAAAATGTGACTTTTGACCGTTTTCCACAGTGATGACCGTTGTAGCATCCATGTGATCGAAATTCAGATGCTTGGCAACTGGTTCATACTTAGGACCGTTGCTGTGTCCCAAAGTCACGGATGGGATCCTCTTTTGCGACCCCATTGCAAAGTCAATGGGGAAACCAGATTCACTTAACTGGGTTGCTAACTTATCCTCTGCAGTGATTCACTTAACATCCATGGCAAAGGTCGTAAAATGGGACAAAACTCACTTAACAAATGTCTCACTTAACAACAGAAATTTTGGGTTCAGTTGTGCTAGTAAGTTGAGGACTACCTTTATATATGGTTCCCAATCTAATTCTGGACAGTGAACATAGCATAATATACATTTACTCTTCAGCGTATGATCTCAACTCGGACCAGAATCTCCATTGCTAAGCAAGGCAGTTGTTAAGTAAGCCACGCTCAATTTTCTGCCTTTTTTTTAATCATGGTTGTTAAATGAACCACTGTTGCTATTAAGTGGATCACGCAGTCCTTAAACGAATCTGCCTTCCCCCATTGACTTGGCTTGTCAGAAACTAATTGAGAAGGTCCCAAACGTTGATCACATGACGTGAGGATGCTGTGACGGTCATAAATACGTGCCAGTTGCCAAATACCCAAATCTTACGACGGTGAGGATGTTGCAACAGTCATAAGTGTGAGGACCAATTGTAAGTTGCTTTTTTTCCCCAGCCCTGCTGTAACTTTGAACAGTCGCTGAATGAACAGTTGTAAGTTGAGAATTACCTGTAGTTCGTTTCGGGCAGTTTCAGTTAGCCATAAAAGATTAACATAAACTCGCACGAGTGGAAAAGCTGGAGAATTTTGTAACCGATTTGGAAGCTCAGCTCAATGTTCCTGGTTTGTTTTGTAGGGAGTCCCTCCCGGTGGAGTTCCATGATGTCCCTCTCTGTACGACCCCAGCGGCGCAGTCTGGTGGTCAGGATCAATAGGAGCCAGTCGTTTGCAGGGGTCAACTCTTCCCAGGACAAATCTTTCAGGTAGGCTTAGCAAAAATGTCTCCGAGCAACGGAGATAATCAGAGAAGCCTCTGATTTCCTGCATGGTTCTTGCTGGCGAATTGCACTGAGGGAGTCCTGGGGTAAACATCATATATTTGGGACAAAACAAATGCAGATGGATGAGAGGACAGCCTGTTTGGTTTTGTAAAGGTCTGTTTGTTCTCTTCAACCCTACTTTTAGAACATTTTACAGGCGCCCAGTGAAAAGTCCCCATAGCAATTGCAACATTTCTCTTCCCTAGAAAGCAAATTATTTTAAACTTGCCCATTATCTCCCTCTCTTGCTCTGTTTCTCCAAATCTTTATTTTTTTCTCCAGCTACACCTTTCTTTATTCCTCTGAGCAGGTGAGCTCCCCCCCCCCCCCGCAAAGTCCTGTAATTTAACACAATCTGAGCATTTATACAAGAGCAAAACTTGAAGGGTGAAAAAGATTCCATTTAAAGCACCCCATCTTTGGACTGAGATAAAAAGTGGGCCTTGAATAGTTAGCTATTCAGTTAAGTAATGATTGGCCGCTTATGATTAAAAAATTACATAAACAGCAGGCCATCCTCTTTTCCTGTAGTCAGATTTTCCATGTTTCCTTTGTTTTAAGCTTAGTACGGGAAAGAGTGCTGAATGATATAAAATTATGTAATGGAAAAAACCCTTCCTAGTCCAAATGCAAACACGCATACAGAGCAAAGCTTTTAGGCTGGGGCTAACTTTTGCCAAATGAGATTAGCTTGATTGCAGCACCTGGAAATAATGATCCTCGATAGCCATGCCAGTTTAAATTAGTATGGCTGGTAAACAGGCTTAGCATGAGTTGGTGTATGGGTGACTGGTGGAAGAAACCAGATTTTAGTTTGGACTGAGAAGAGAATAATGAAATTCCCATGGCCAATGAAAGACCTGGGTGTTGAAGGCCTCTGGAGAGTGTCATCTTAGGAATCCAGGTCAGCTCTACGATGCCTTGCAGTTGTCTATTATCTTTTAATCCTTTTTGTCTTGGCTCAGAAGCTTGAAGGGGCACAGAAGATTCTTCCCGTATAATTACTGTGGAAGGAAGGTTAGGATGAGAAGTAAATCCTGGCCCAAAGGCAAACTATGGGTGAATGAGACTGATTTGATTGGGGCAGCTTTGAAATGGGTGGCTTTCTTTTTAAATAAAAGTGGGAACCACTCATACCTAAATTTCTTCTCTTAGTTTGAGGAGGAAAGAATTGGCCGATTTGTCTCCAGCTTTCAAAGCCTAGTGTGGGATGAAGATCTGTTGGTAGTCCTTACATTCTGAGTCGCTTCTCCTTGCCTCACACCACATGGCTGGCTTTCCTCACAGTGATGAACATTTTTTTGTGTATCACTAATAGATTTTGGAAGGGCTCAAAGCCACTTTTCTGGTTCATGCAATCTCCTAGATGATGGGTTTTCAAACCTGTTCAGACCTTCAAGGCCTATGAGCTGAAAAAATAAATATATCCCTGAACCCATGATCAAGAGGCAAAACTTTAGTGATAGAAAAACTAACCGGAAAAAGCTTTCCTACTCGTGGAAGTGTCTTTATGCAAATGTATACATTAAAATTCGTTGGATTTCGCAAAAGCAGATGCCCCAATGAGCATTCCAGAATGTTCATTAAAGGGAACAACAACAACAACAACAACAGAAGACATGTCAGTTTAACGTCTCTAATGTCCAAAAATTAAAAGCTGAATTTCACCAGATTCAATAAGAGGAATGTGATTGCTTTTCCCTAGAAAACTTTCCATGGAAGCCCATTTGCTGCATTTGGGGGAACTTTTTTTCCCCCCTCTTTCTTTTAGTCTGGTCAGAAACCCAATCAAATTCACCCACTTTTCACAGAACGCAGTTTGGGGGGGGGGAAACAAACCCTGTCCTAGATTGCGCAGTCGACTTAGCAAAGAGAAGGCTGGAAAAATGTCTTTACGGATACATTTTTCTTGAAATATTTTTAAGGCTTTTTGGTATTACTGCAGGGGTATGGATATGTACAGGGACTGCTTGTTTTCCCACCCAGACTAGGCAGAATACCATCCTGCATTATTAAATATCGGCTGGCCAGCCTCTTCCACGATATCTTCTTTTGCCCGGGGCTTTTATCATCCTTATTATTCTTTTGGTAGGAATTTCCCTGCGTTCAGTACACCCACGGTCTCCAGGAAGTCTGGCTCCAGGGTCAGTAGAATGTTTTCAATGTCTCACAAATCCCCTCCACCGAAGGTGCCCCAGCCAGAGCGATTTGACGAAGTGTACGAAGCATTGAAGAAAGGGCTAAGGTAAGCCTCGCTGCTGGCGTCACCTGGCACCCAGCGTGTGACACGCACCGGCACCTGTTCACTCAAAATATCCCAGGTTGCCTTTCTGGCACGGGTTTGGTATCTAAGGAGGCTTGTGAGAAGTAACTGTGAAACGGAGTGTCATCCACAAGATATCGAGAGCCAGTTTGGCCTAGTACAGGGGTCTCCAAACTCGGCCACTTGTGGATTTCAACTCCCAGAATTCTCCAGCCAGCCATAATTGGCTGGGGAATTCTGGGAGTTGAAGTCCACAAGTCTTAAAGTGGCCAAGTTTGAAGATCCCTGGTCTAGTGGTTAAGACACCAATCTAGAAACCAGGAGACCCTGAGTTCCAATCTTGCCTCAGACATGAAAGCCAGCTGGGTGAGCTTGGGCCAATCTCTCTCCCTCAGCCCAATTCACCTCAGGGTTGTTGTCGTGAGGAAAATAGGAGGAGAAAGGAGTAGTTAGATATGTTTGCTGCCTTGAGTTGTTTATAAAGGATAATAAAAGCAGGATATAAACACGTGATAAATAAATGCTTAAATAAATATTGCCTCAAAAGTTTTGAGATAGTGGTTAAGGCACCAAGCTAGAAACCAGGAGATTGTGAGTTTTAGTTCCACCTGAGGCACAACTGGGTGATTTTGGGCCAGTCACTCACCGTCAGCCCTAGGAAACAGGCAAGAGCAAAACACTTTTGAAATCTTGTCAAGAAAACTACAGGGACTTGTCCAGGCAGTTGCCAGGAATCAACATATCGACTTGAAGGCAATTCAGCTTTGTGTCAATTCAGTTGACCGTGGCTTCCTTCTCCCTCCCTCCTAAAGTTCAACTTGTAGATCAAGAGTGTGGACGGCGTGGTGGGAATCGACTGAAAGGAAGTGTTCTGCTCTTGGGTTTTACTGCCAAGGATAACATCCTCCATGAACTCAGGCAGTCACTTGAATTGGGGAGCCAGGATGTTGCCTGTTGTAATCTTCCAAGCAACGGGGAGATTATTGTGCTTTCAGTCCCTTCCATCTCTCCCTGCAGTGCTTACCTGGAAGTACACCAGCAGGAACTGGAGAAGCTGAGTACGCAGATCCGTGAATCCAAGAGGAATTCTCGCTTGGTGAGTGGAGCAGTTCCTATCTTGGGCGACGCTGCCTAGCTCCGATGGACACAAATGGCAGAAGTTCAGTGGGTAGTCTCCGGCCCTCACTCTTGCAGACATGCTGACCTTCAGACACTTTTGTGGAACAGATGGTGATGGTGCTACACTTCTGACTTGCATGCTTTTTTGCGCGCAGGATCTCCCCAATACACACCCACAAAAGTACCTCCGTGCAGGTATTCAATATATACGTGGATACTGCAGACACCGTACACACTTCCCAGTGCCTATGTAAACATGATCATTCTATCCTTGCCACAATGTTGGGGTGCCGTTTTAAAAGATCTGTTCAGAAGAGCATGTTGGCAATTCCTGATATGATGCCATGTATTCACCCTGGTGCTCTCAGAGCTTGGTTGTCTTCTTGCAGACGTTTCATTACCCAAATAGGGAACATCTCCCAACTACACGTGTTCTCTTCTATTGCCATGTATTCTGCAGTTCTTCCATGTTCCTGGCTCCTCCTGACCTTCCCCTTCTCCTCTTTTTCTCCTTTAGGGCTTCCTCTATGACCTTGACAAGGTAAGACATGCTGGGAAGAAAGAGGAGAACCCAAGGAATGACGTTGTGTGGGGCAGGATTGCCCACCTCTTGCATCTCATACATTTCTGCATGCAAAATGTTGTCCCATCTGGTCTTGGATCCGTCTCTTTTCTCTACCTTGCCAGAACGATCTTGCTTGCTCCAAGGCTTACTGTTAAATAAACATATACCCGTACTGAGGTTCCCAAAGGTGATAATTGGGTGAGATAAGACTAATATCTTTTTTTTTTTAACTTCTTTTCCATGGCAGCCCGTGTGCCTGGAGGATTTGTGGGGTCCTACATTCTTTTGCAAGGAATGGGATGCAACGGCTCAGTGGTTAAAGACGCTGAGCTTGTCAGTTAGATAGCTAACCGCCTGGGTTCAAGACCCAAACTCCCCGCAAAGGAGTGAGCTCCCGGTACTTGCCCACCTAGCGGTTCAAAAGCATGCAAATGCAAGTAGATAAATAGGTACCACTTCGGTAGGAAGGTAACAGCATTCCGTGCCCCTTTGGTGTATGATCATACTGACCACATGACCACGGAAATTGTCTTCAGATAACACTGGTTCCCTCAACAAAGAAACAATGGAGATGAGCAGACACGGCTGGCAAGGAAACCTTTACCTTTTTACATTCCTTTACCAGTTGAGTGTCTAGATCATCAAAATGATATTTCTTTCTTATTTCACAGCAAGTCAAGTCCATTGAGCGTTTCCTGCGCCGTTTGGAGTTTCACGCTAGCAAGGTACTTGTGGTTTCTGAATTCACTCTGCATGTAGCATCGCCGGGCCAAGAAAAGCTATTTTTTTAAATTGTCCTTATACATTATGCCTTAGAACAGTGGTTCTCAACCTTTTTAATGCCGCGACCCCCCCCCCAACCGGTCGTAAGTCGAGGACTACTCAACCGGTCGTAAGTCGAGGACTACTCAACTGGTGCAGCACCGTTTGCAGAATGGGACTTTTGGCGGGCTCAGCAGGGCAGAGACAGCCTGGACAATTCCTATTGGCTTTTGAAAGCCAATAGAATTAGACTCTATTCAAGAGAGTCTATTCTATTGGCTTTCAGAAGCCAATAGAATAAAAGGGAGTAGCACAGCTAAGGAAAAGGGGGAAAAAATGGCGGGCTGCGTTGTTTGGCGACCCCCGTGAAATGGTCGTTCGACCCCAAATGGGGTCCCGACCCACAGGTTGAGAACCGCTGCCTTAGAACCTGTGTGTAAATGTTTGCCTACAGTTTAAACCTAGTTTAAACCCAGAGTTTAAATCTAGAGCAAGAGGATTCGGTTGCAACTTTCCAAAGATTTCCGGCTAAGCAATTTCCTGCTACCTGATCCTTCTTAACTGGAGATGCTAAGGTCTTTTAGTGTGTAAAATTCGGATTCAGCTATTCAGCCAGGGCCCGTCCCAAAGAGAAGGAGAAAAAAAAAATCTGCAGGCAGGATGAGAAGTAATAGATGGAAGCTTATCAAAGAGAAATCCAACCTAGAACTCAAGAGGAATTTCCTATCACTGAAAGCAATTGATCAATTAAGCTTACCCCCAGAGGTTATCAGCACTCCATCTCTGGAGATTTTTAAGAGATGGCGTAGCCCTTTGTCTGGAATTGGCATTGGATCTCCTACTTGAGTAGGGACTACAAGTCCTTCCATCTCTGTTATTTTGTAATTCTGTAAAGATCCGGAAGAGCCTTTTTGAAGACAGAATGTGTAACAGTTGTGTAACCTAGTAACAGTTGTGTAACCTAGGATGGTCTGTGAGTCAGCCTTCTGGATATTTCAGCAGGTGTCCTCACAGTTGGCTCAGCTTTCGGCTCAGCCAACTTGCATCTTCTCACTCTCGTTCTCCTTGGTTCCTCTTCAATAGATTGATGAGCTCTATGAGGCGTATTGCATCCAGCGACGACTCCGAGATGGCGCTCACAACATGGTCAAGGCCTACACAGCCGGTTCCCCGGGCAGCAAGGAGGCCCGGGAGAGCTTGGCCGAAGCCGGCAAGGGCTACAAGGAGTACACGGAAGTGAGTCAAGATAGCTGGCACCTCAGGGAGGAAGAAAATCTGTTGGGGTAACAGGAGGAAAGTTTCTGGATTGACAAGCGTTAACAGTTGGTTGTTGATTTTCTCCCCCGTGCAGAACATGTGTCTGTTGGAGAGTGAGTTGGAGAGCCAGTTGGGAGAGTTCCATATCAAGATGAAAGGTAGGAAGGGGCAAATTACATCTGCAGGAGGAAACTTTGTCAGCTGTTTTTAAAAGCATCCTTCTCAGGAGCACAACAGGACCATTAGCCGATCAGAGTGGTATGTTTATTGCTGCTGGCCTGTAGACAGGAATCTTGCCAGGCTAAAGCACAGAGTGCATAACTGTTAGATAAATACCACAAAGCTTTAGGGAGGATCTCCGTTCAGTCTCTTCCTCCCCACAAGGGACTCAAGGCTACTCAGCCATTTCAACCTCCCCTCAACTCAGGACCAGATTGCACCACACTCTTGAGGAGTGTAGGACAGGGGTCCTTAACCTTGGCCACTTTAAGCTGGCTGAGGAATTCTGGGAGTTGAAGTCCACAAGACTTAAAGTGGCCAAGGTTTGAGGACTCCTGGTCTAGGAGATGGCTTGGTGCAGCAGCACTAGTAGGAGAAGGCTGTTGACACTTTTGCCTCTTGAGATCTCCTCCGGATCACAAAGTTTTCTCATAAATGTACATCTGGAGAAAAGGGATGGGGTGGTGGTGATCTTATTATTTATTGTTTTCTGAGTCTTTATGAAGGATAACAACATTTGAACTACCTAGGTGGACCATGAGTGAAGGCATAAACTTGTCTTGTCATTCTCTTGCAGGATTGGCTGGCTTTGCTAGGCTTTGTGCGGGGGACCAATATGAGGTGCGTAGAAGCAAGATGGGTGATGGAGGGGGTAGAACAGAAGGGTTCTAGAGTTGGGTAGGATTGAGGGAAATGTTGAAATTGCAAATGGGAGCTAGTTAGGGGATTGTTTTCTGCTCATTGACAGCCTTGGGGAGTGTGGACCCCGGGTGCTTTCCAGATGTTTGTATCAGAGTGAACTAAGAGGTTGGAAGGTTGCCCACTGTTACTTAAAGGATTGGGTGAATTGGTTCCTTCTGTTTGATATCCAAGAAAGGCTTGCAATCAAGCTGGCTTAAAATTGTGAGTCTGAATTTTATTGCTAATCTTCTAACTGATACCCAAAATTCTCCTTCTTCACCGTAGATCTTCATGAGATATGGGCGCCAGCGATGGAAACTACGGGGTCGCATTGAAGCCAACAGCAAGCAAGTCTGGGATAGTGAGGAGATGATCTTCTTGCCCCTTATCACAGAATTTCTGTCTATCAAGGTGACTGATGTCTCCCCAGTCAGATGTCTCCTATCTAGAAAAGATGTCTTTTCCTTATTCATGATAATTCTGCTTTTCCTTTCTTTTTTCAGGTGACGGAACTCAAGAGCTTGGCCAGCCACGTAGTGGTGGGGAATGTCTCTTGCGAGACCAAGGACCTTTTTGCAGCCCTGCCCCAAGTGGTGGCCGTGGATATCAATGACCTAGGCACAATCAAGCTGAGCCTGGAGGTCAATTGGAAGTGAGTGCTCTTGGCCTTCAAGCTTGTTCTGTTCTTCTCCAATGTGAGGACATTGTTGGGTGCCTGTTGGGCCACCATGAAGGATGGGTTCTGCTGAGAGAGCATATGATGTCTCCTTGAAGATCTTCCAAGTGATGTAAAGAGCCTGTGGGGCCACCTCTCCCCTCAGCTGACTTTCCCCTCTTCCCCACTAACGTCTATGCTTTCCTTCCATCAGTCCCTTTGATAAAGAGGACCAGCCATCTTCTGCCAGTACTGTGAACAAGACTTCGACAGTCAACAAGCGATTCTCCACATACAACCAGAGTCCTCCTGATACCCCTTCCATGAGAGAACAAGCCTTCTATGTGAGTACTCCTTCAATGGGTATTACATTTATTAAGATATGGGGAGAGGGGAAAGCCCTTCATCTTTATGGCTTCACAGTAGCTTCACCAAGGACTTGGAGAGCATCTAGTCTAGGGGTCCTCAAACCTGGCCACTTTAAGATTAGTGGACTTCAACTCCCAGAATTCTCCAGCCAGCCATGGCAAGCTGGGTGTTGAAGTCCACAAGTCTTAAAGTGGCCAAGTTTGAGGACCCCTGATCTAGTCCAATAAGCAAATATGTATCACTCTTCTCCTACAACAGGGGTCTTCAAACTTGGCCCTTTTATGACTTGTGGCCTTCAACTCCCAGAATTCCTCAGCCAGGCACGCTGGCTGAGGAATTCTGGGAGTTGAAGTCCACAAAAGGGCCAAGTTTGAAGACCCCTGTCCTACAGTCTTATACACAAAGCCTATGTTACTGTTCAAAAGATGTTTTAAATCAAAGTAGGCCACACTCCCTTGGATGGCTTCTCTTCCTAGCAGTTACACCACATTCTCATACTTGTTTCTCTATTTAAATGCTTTTATCTTAGATCTTAGACTTGGGATAGAATTTGTCAAATCATAGTTCCTATTGCATTCAAGCTGAACAACCAGGATTTAATCTTGAATTGTATGTAATCAGAGATTGAAACACAGTTATTTTGGTTCCGCTAATCCAGAAATCTATGGTTTAACCACGTCTAGAAATCCCTGGATTAGGACAGGGATGTGCAATCTGAGATTATTCAACAAATATTGCTTTGGCTGCAATCTCCAGAGATCTCCAAAAATTTGTCCCCCCAGAATTGAATTCTAACATATAATGAAATAAGTGGTGCCAATGATTAAATAAATGGTGATCATTTCCATTAGTTACTTTTATTTAACCCAATCTTATTTTGATCTTCCTCTTCTCATTTCATCCTGGCCTTGTCTACTTCTGGGAGGGGTATCTCCAGCCCTTCATTTAAAATCCATATGTGGCCCTGAAAAAACAAATGTTCTGTGCTTATGTTACCTTTGATCACATCAAAGAAAAGGAAAGGAGAAAAAGCACACAAACAAAACATTTTCTTGTGGGATTCAAGAACAAGCCATGTTTATCAGACTAAGACTGTTCATTTTTGTTAGGTGAAACATTTTTAAAAAGGAGAACAACTTTTCCAATCTGGAGGAAATTTCCTAGTTAGATTTATTGCAGAGGAGGGCGTGCTTTATCCTGATTCCACAAACCAGGGGTCTCCAACCCCCGGTCCGTGGACCGGTACCGGGCCCCACAGCATGCCAGCAACCGGTCCACACAAACAAGCAAAGCCCCATCCGTGGGATGCAGGCAGCACACAAAACCACGCACCCCCCGGTCTGTGGAAAAACCTCTCTCCACGGAACCGGTCCCTGGTGCTCAAAGGTTTGGGGACCTCTGCCGTAAACGGCTACATGGGGCACCCAACTGAGGTTAGCTAGGTGTTGACGATTGTTGCCTCTTTCTCTGCTCAAGAGCCTGCCTTGGGAGGCGGTCCCCAAGCAGAGGCGGGCCTTGATGGACGTCTTCCAAGAGACCGTCCTGGAAAGGCTGCCGTGGAGCTGTTCATGCAGCGATGTCTCCTCGGTGCAGCTCAGCACAAGGGCGTCTCAGGGCTGCGTAAGTCCTCGCACCGTTGCATCGCTTGGTGTCCCACAATAGAGCTTCCTCTGCTTTAGTCTCTGCCTTAGGATAAGTGGTACTTGGCAGTAGCGAACTGTACAGGCTTCCTTTGTCTTGTTGGCTTGTAGTGGTCACTGCTGATTGTGTGTTTACTATCTGCTACCCCTGCAGGCCGGGAGGTGGGGAGGGACCCTCATTGGGAAATTTAACAGGAAAGGTCTTCCTTCAAATTAGAAGTTGGCAAGCTATGGTTCGTAGGCTGTGTGTAACCTTGGTTCTACTTAGAAGTAACCCTGGACGTACTTTCAGAAGCCCTCTGAAGTTGGTCAAGCCAGGCTTTGTGTAAGAACTACAGGTAGCCCTCCACTTACAACCACAGTTCACCCCCAAATTTCCGGGGCTAAGCGAGACAAGTGAATTTTGCTCCATTTTACGACGACATTCTTGCCAAAGCTATTAAGTGACTTACTGCAGTTGTTGACTTAGCAACCCGGTTGTGAAGTGAACCTGGCTTCCCCCATTGACTTTGCTTGTCAGAAGGTCGCCAAAGGTGAGCACATGGCCGCGGGGATGCTACAACCGTCGTAAGTGTGAAAAAAGGTCGTAAGTCATTTTCTTCAGGGTGAGGGTCACCTCGGTCACTGAACGAGCTGTTGTAAATCAAGGACTGTCTGTATCTTCCTTGATGGTATCTTGGCTGGGAGAAAGAGAACGGGGAGAAGAGGTCTGAGAAAGAATGGGTATCTTCACCCATTGTTGACTTTTACCCATATATATTTGAGACAATATGGTGCTTCTGCAAAAGTGATGCTTCCCTGTTGTACTGTTAAGTCTGCTTAAGAGATGAGATAAAGAGAAGAGGTTCCTGCTTCATGCATACTATTATAATCTGGCTTGTTTGGCTAGCTTAACCCCCAGGATATAAACTCAGCTGTTGCCGATTATCAGCAATGCTGCATGGCTTAACAAAGCTGGTAAATCAGGCCTATTCAACAAATTATGATTAAAATGATACATTGTTTAGGATGTAATCCCAAGCAGGGATAACATTGTTAAGGAGAATTTTAAATTCTGTGAATAAGAGTTTTGGGCAGGGGTTCATTAAAAGGGCTCCATTTCACACCGTTTTCCATTCAATATTACCAATATGGCCCTCGCTTAACCTAATTCAGGGGTCTCCAAACTTAGCCGCTTTAAGACTTGTGGACTTCAATTCCTAGAATTCCTCAGCCAGCATGGCTGGCTGAGGAATTCTGGGAGTTGAAGTCCACAAGTCTTAAAATGGCCAAGTTTGAGGACCCCTGTCCTAACCTCTTGCTAAAGGCTTTTGGTGGTGATCTAGCGTGAGACAGCAAGTCCCAACTCAGAATGGTTACTCCAAAAGCCAACTCTAGAATCTCCCATATCATTCAAGAGGCCATCTCAGCTGCTGGGAAATAGCTGGTCTCTCTCCCCTGGGGGTTTACCGATGTATATGGAAGACAGAGCGCGTTACTTAAGTGTAGCATACATGTCAGCATCAACATCTGGGCAGATGGTTTTCTCCAGATGGTGAGCAGATGCAAACATTGAGGAGCACTGGAAGAAAATGGATTCTCTTAGAAGCCAATTCTTCTCCCAAACATAGACCACAACACTGACCGTTGGCTCTGTCCCCACCCACACTGAACAGCCTCCCTGTGTGTAGTTAACTGGCTGGAGGATAAGAAGGAACAGGGCTAAATGACTAATATGGGATTGGGCGATGTAAAGTATCAAACCATCCTCCGTGGCACCTGCCCTATATCAACATTAAACTCAAAAGTTTTCAAAGTATGTTATTAAGAATAGCCAGCATAAGATTTCAATCTCATAACAATGTGAATATGTATATTTGTCCCTGGGTCATTTGCAAGATGACATGAAGGGACCCAGCAGCTGAACCCCAGGTTCTGGTTAATTCAGCTTGCAGCCTTGTGTCTACCTGGAGGTGGCATGTCAGGTCCAGGAAGAAGAACTGCTGATGTTCCAGAGATAAAGTTGGGGCTGTGGAAAGAATGGTTGTGAATGAGGGTTTGCCTGTGGGTGGAAGAGGTTCGGCTTGCGTGCTCATTTTGACTTGCAGTGCTCCAATGCGGTCGTATCTCATTTGTGGTGTGGTTCCCTTCAGAACATGCTACGGCAGCAGGAGGATCTGGAGAATGGGGCAGCCTGGTCCATCTCTTCGGAGTCCTCCGATGACTCTTCCAGCCCCCAACTGTCCGGAAGTGCCCGACATACATTGCCCAGGCCTATTGTGCAACCTGCAGTGCAGGCCACTGCCCCTGCCATTGAAATTGCTTTCACCCACCCCGAGGACAAGGAGCCCGCAATCCGAGAAGAGGCCGCCATGGCCAACGGACACGTGCCCTACGCCCGGACTCTCAGCCAGATCAGTGAAGCAAGTGTAGACCTGCCCATAGCAGAAGAGAAGGAGTGTCCTGTCCCCAAAGAGCCTGCTCCTTGCGATGCCCCTTCCTTGGAAACGAACTCCTCGCCCCCAAGTGTGGGCTTGCCACTGGACACTCAGATCCGTGAGGACGAAGAGGGTGAGCCTGATGGGGCCACCCCTGTTGGAGAGGAGAGGGAGGAAACTCCTGGTCCAGCACAAGAGGTTCAACAGCCCAAGTCTTCAGTGGCCCCATCAGCCTTGGGACAGCTTCAGCAGTCAGGGATCTCAGAGGTTCCAAGGCCCAAACCCGTGGACTCCGGCCTGGAGGAGGCCATCAACACACTGGCTTCTGCTCTGGATGACTATCGGGGCCAGTTCCCTGAGCTGCAGGTTCTGGAGCAGGAACTCAAGCATCTTGAGGAGATTCTCTTGGTAAGTGAGTGGGTAGAAAGCCACACCAGAAGCTGGAGGGTTGTCATAGCCTTTAAACCAACGGAACACTGCTTTCCCGAGGTCCTCTCCTACTGATGGGTTTTAAACCAGGAGACCAGAAGGATTGTCTGGCTGCCACTGTGGAAGAAAATAAAACTCAATATTGCAATCTACTCTTCTATCTCAGGGACATTTTTTTTTTTTTTTTGGTGTTATTCCAAATGTCACGAGATTCTGAGTCACCACCCCGTGATCTGTCAAAAATCTCAAGAGAGTTTAACAATTCCATGAGATTTTTTTCCTGCTTTAAAACAAAGGGTACATTAACTTTGGAAATTCCCAAAGTTTTGAGATCTACTAATATTTTGAGATCTACTAATTACCATTCCATAAGACTGCAGCCGCTTAGGAGTTTTGGAAGCCCTTCCTCCAAAACCTGGTTCTGAAAACTTGCTTGAATTATGCAAGCAATTACACTTGGTGGATCTTTGGATTATGTTTATGTATGGTTTGCATAATTTTGGCCAGTTCTAGGAAGGAAAACAAACATGAAGGGACCCAACAACTGGCACAGATTTGGTTAGTTCAGCTGTTTATCTGGAGATAGCATGTTAAGTCGAGGAAGAAGAACTGTTGATGTTCCAAAGACAAAGAATGATTGTGAATGAGTGTATACACCTCCCGTGTGTACTAAAAGTTCTTTTCAGATACATTTCTCACCACATCTGCTCCTGTGAACTTTTGAGGGCAACATAAGTTATATATCTTCAACTCACACACTTCCGCTGTGTCTTTTCATAAGATCAGTTTCCTGCTTACACATTAGAGGCCCATTCTGGTTGTTTTGAAAAGGAAGAATGGGATGAATAACATACAAAACCCTGTAGAGAAACCTCAGAGAACTCTGCATAGTTCATATGCTGTAGGTTAGATTGCAGTGTTGGGCTTCCGCGTTCACATAAACCAAGGAAGACATAAATATGGTTTTCTAGCAATTTTTGGAATGAAAACTCAGTTTGTCGAGATGCTGGACTGCTCCAGTGTAGGCATCGACCAAATTTCCGACAGGCAATCTTCTACGTCAAAAATCGAGGGCCCAAGACTTTCAGATGAAAAGCTGTGCCATAACTTTAATAATAATAATGATGATGATGGTGATGATGATGATGATGATGATGATAAAGTTGGAAGGGACCTTGGTAGTCATCTAGTCCAACCCCCTGCTCAGGCAGGAAACCCTATACCATTTCGGACAAATGGCTGTCCAGTTTCTTCTTAAAAACTTCCAGTGTTGGAGCATTCACCGCTTCTGGAGGCAGGTTTTTCCACTGGTTAATTGTTCTAACTGTCAGGAAGTTTCTCCTCAGTTCTAGGTTGCTTCTCTCCTTGATTAGTTTCCATCTGTTGCTTCTTGTCCTGCCTTCAGGCACTTTGGAGAATAGCTTGACTCCCTCTTCTTTGGGGCAGCCCCTGAGATATTGGAACACTGCTATCATGTCCCCCCCTTGTCCTTCTCTTCATTAGACTAGACACACCAAATTCCAACAGCCTTTCCTTACATGTTTTAGCCTCCAGTCCCCTAATCATCTTTGTTGCTCTTCTCTGTACTCAAAGAGTCTCAGCATCTTTTTTACATCATGGTGACCAAAACTGGATGTCGTATTCCAAGTGTGGCCTTACCAAGACATTATAGAGTGGTATTAATACTTCACATGATCTTGATTCTATCCCTCAGTTAATGCAGCCTAATACTTTCAAGCATCTCCTCTTTGAACATTTGTTTGAAAATTAGACACTGAGTGTTTTGGGGGTTTTTTTGTGTGTGTTGTGGGTGTGTTTTTTCCTTTTGCACGTGGGATCTCAGGCCCAGCAGGGCTAGATGCAGAGCAGTGAGGAGAATTCTTTGGTCTAGGATGGGCCCAAAAGAGAATCTTTTGAAAGTCTTGACACCTTTTAAAATTTCCATCCCACAAGCAGAAACAAGGCCTATGCCTTAGCCGAGCCTCCAGCACCAGCCTGACGGTGGAACACGCGCTTGAGAGTTTCAGCTTCCTCAACGCTTCTGAATCAGAAGACTCGGAAGGAGAGGACGACAAGTGAGTAGGTTGGCTAAAAGCTGGTTCAGAGTGGCCCCCAACTGCCCGTAGCCAACGCTGCATAGAAGTAGTCCTCCACTTACAACTGTTCATTTAGTGACAGTTGGAAATTATAGCAGCGCTGAAAAAGAGCGGCTTATGACCGTTTTTCACAATTACGACCGTTGCAGCCTCCCCGTTGTCATGTGATCAAAGTTCAGACGCTTGGCAACTAACTCCTATTCATGACAATCGCAGTGTCCCCAGGGGTCATACGATCCTTTTTGCCACCTTCTGACAAGTCAGTGGGGGAAGCCGGATTCGCTTAACAACGGGGTTACTAACTTAATAGCTTTGGCCAGAAAGTCGTTGTAAAATGGAGCAAAATTCTTGTCTTGCTTAGCCACAGAAATTTGGGGTGGGGGGGTCAATTGTGGTCGTAAGTCGAGGACTACATGTATCTCCTGTGTCTGGCTGGACCCTGCTCCCTCCAAGCGACGGTCTTGGCAGGGCTTGCTACAGGATTGTTGTTGTTGTTGTTGTTAGTTGCGAAGTTGTGTCCGACTCATCGCGACCCCATGGACAATGTTCCTCCAGGCCTTCCTGCCCTCTACCATCTTCTGGAGTCCATTTAAGTTCACTCCTACTGCTTCAGTGACTCCATCCAGCCACTTCACTGTCGTCCCCTTCTTCCATTGCCCTGCATCTTGCCCAGCATTAGGCTCTTCTCCAGTGAGTCCTTCCTTCTCATTAGGTGGCCAAAGTATTTGAGTTTCAGGATCTGGCCTTCTAAAGAGCAGTCGGGGTTGATCTCCTCTAAGACTGACCGGTTTGATGGCTTGGCAGTCCAGGCAGAATGCCAATGGCTTTTCCCACGGTGCTGATGCAGCTGTTGGAAATCCCTCTAAAGCCAATCTCAAGCCATCTGGTCTAACAGGTAGAAGCTGGCAGAAAATGCTGCAGCAGCGCCACTCCGTGGCCAGTGGTTGACACTGCTGCTAAGATCTGTTCACACCCCATCCCCACTTGCTCCCTTCAAATATTTGCAAGTGGGAAATGTTGACCAAGATCCAACTTCCCCAAATACAGTGATTTTGGTCCTGCCTTTTGCACCCTGGTGGTACCTAGGAATCACGGGCAAATTTATTTAGTTTGGGCTTTTGCATTTCCCCCCCTACACTGGATCTGGCTGCCATGCATTGAAAGCAAGCACATGGCCCCGGTAGGATTTGTGGAAGAAGCTGGCTTATATTTTGCCCACCGCCTCTCTTTACAGGGTGGCAAGCAACGCCCAGGCTCCACCTGTGGGCAAAGTGCCAGGGTCCGCTGATATGGCGGCTGAAGACTCCGCTGGGTGCCTAAATTCAGAAGGCAGCTTCGAGCCCATGACCACCGGCAACGAATTCCTTGACAGGGCCCTGGTCCTGCACCTCAACCACTGCAATCGCTTGCTGCTAGTGAGTGTGAAGACGTGGGTTTTGTCGCCTGGCCTGGGTCTGTCCTGGTCTTTTTAAAAATCAGAGTCTCCCCGTGGACGGGAAAGGCGTAATTTGGTGGTTCATTTTATTTATCTGCTTAGCAAATTTATACAGCCACCCAACTCGTAATTAAAAAAAAACACACCGTAAAACCAATAGAAAACTTAAATGCATAAAAACCCAAGATAGGGAGAGAACAAATCCAGCTGCTTGCCGGCTTCCCACGGGAACCCCAAGGTTGGTGAAAAAAAACAGCAATTTTGAGGGTTTTCCGGAAGACAAGCAAGGATGGGGCCAATCTCCCCTGGGGAAATGGTGTTTTGTTGAGTGGGGGGCACAGCAGTAAAAGCCCACCCTCCAGGTCCTGCCAGATGGAACTCCTGAGAAGATTTTCAGTGCCTTTGAACGGCCACTGAATGAATGGTTGTAAATTGACAATTACCTTTAAATGGATCTTAAGTTGTGAAATATATGGCGTGCAGGGAGTCCTCGGCTCACAACTGTTCATTTAGTGACCGTCCAAAGTTTCCATGACGCTTTAAAAAGCGACTTAGGATCGTTGTTTTTTTTCACACAACCGTTGCAGCATCCCCCGGGTCACGTCGTCAAAATTCAAACCGACTCATGTTTATGACGGTGGCCATGTCCCGGGGCGGGGGTTCCTGTGAAGTAGGGAAGTTGGATTCGCTTAACACCCGTGTTCCTAACCAACTGTGTCAAGAAAAGTTGTAAATTGAGGCAAAGCTCACTTAACAACTGTTTCACTTAGCAACAGAAGTTTTGGGCTCAGCCGTGGTTGTCAAGTCGAGGACGATCTGTAATAATTTTTCCACGTCTGCCGCAGTAAAATGATAACGTGCCAACCTTTTTGGCCAATGAATGCCTGGTGGGGCTTTGGACAGCTCTGCTGGTTTTGCTCATCCTGACTTTTGCAGAAGGGTTGCCCGTCTGCCACCCTGGCATCACCTCTTCTCTCCTGACCATCTTTTGCCGTGTCTTGGTTGATAGAAGCTGGGCAACTTCGGACCTCTCCGCTGCCAGGAAATGTATGCTCTGGACAGGCTGGGCAGAGAAGTGCAGGTCCTAGAGATGGCCAGTCGCCTAATTGTGGACCGAGCAGGCATGGCCAGCACTGCTGAGGAAGGTAGGACAGTGGGCACTCAGGAGATGCATCCGGAGATGGCATACCCGTATTTCTTTTAATTATTATTATTATTGTTGTTGTTGTTGTTGTTTTAGAACAACAAAACAAAACACAGCAAACATTACACACATACACACGTAATATATCCTTTTTTGTTAACAGCAGTTTGTAACATACTCTTATTTCTTGGGAAGAGGGGATCAACCCTGAACAATCAGAACACATTGGCAGAATATCCATTTTCTCCTGGAAGAAAACATACGGAGTGTGTGTAAAAGAGCCGAGGTGGCGCAGCAGTTAAGAGCGCAGTACTGCAGGCCACTTTAGCTGATTGTGTTCAGCAGGTCAGCGGTTCAAATCTCACCGGCTCAAGGTTGACTCAGCCTTCCATCCTTCCGGGGTAGGTAAAATGAGGACCCAGATTGTTGGGGGCAATGTAAATATATATATATATATACATTGCTTACTGGTGTACACCACTTAGAGAGTGCTTGCACTTAAAGCGGTATATAAGTCTCATAAATAAATAAACAAACAAACAAACTAAGGCAGGGGTGGGAAACCTTGACTCTTTTATGACTCGTGGTCTTCGACTCCCAGAATTCCTGAGCCAGCATGGCTCAGCTTGGAAACCTCTCCCTTTCCCCTCAGCATGGCTGGCTCAGGAACTCTGGGAGTTGAAGTCCACGAGTCATAAAAGAGCCAAGGTTCCCCATTCCTGAACTAAGGGATATATGAAGGCGTCAAAAAAACACAATAGGGATATTTCTCTTTCCTGGTGGAATTTGCTTTCCTCTCACTTTTGTTTACGGGAAGAACCTACTTCCTTGGGACTGTTATTAGCCATGCCACTTTTCCCGTAATTCCATGTGGCAGGCAGACTTTTCTATTTTTTCCTTCCAAGGGTTCATCTATTATTTTATACACTCCTTGTATTTGTTGTATACCTAATATCAAGATACTTTAAAAAAAAATATTTAGAACCAATTTTGAGCTAGGTGTTTATGACCTCAAAACTGCTAGCCAATCTTATCTTGATGCACAGCCGTTTTCCAGTACAGACCTGAATAAGCTACTTTTTCCCAGATACAAGCTGAGAGTGTAGCAGAGGAATAAGGCGCACCTTGATGATAAAGTGGCGTGTATTTCCATTGATACGAATAATTCATATTTATAGTGGAGCGCAGTGGTTCACATGATTTAAGATGCTGAATTGGAGCTTAGCAAGCCCGTGTTTGGGAACAGAATGCTGCTAGGTAGCTGGGCTGAGCTCCCATCATTTGCTCCAGCTCCTCAATGGGTACTCCCATCGGACAATGGAAGACGTTTCATAAAATCAAGGCTGTGGATGGAGGCCAAGACCTTCCTTTGGGCGGTGATGGGATAACCAGAAGTCTTAATTGTGGGCCTTGTTTCCGTTCTCAGCGGTACAGTTCTCAACATGGAAAGAAGGCGTTCTCTCTTTCTGGGACCGTTGTGTGGCCGTCCCTAATGTGTATACCTGCTCCGTAGAAAAGTTCATGCAGAACTTTAAGGCTGAGTACGCGGCACGCATCAATGGCCGTCAGCCAAGTTTGGCCGATTCAGGTGAGTGTATTTTTTTACAATTCAAAGCAATTCGTGGTTCCTCTGCTTATTTCTCTCTCTTTCCCCTCTCCAGATTCTAGATTTTCAAGCGGAGTTGTGCTCTTCTGCTCTGAATCTAGTCTGCCATGGAAGCATTAGATCTACTTTGGGAAGCAGGACATATGCACTTCATGAGAGTCACACGGGAAGGAGAAATAGCTCAACTGCTAGGCAGCTGTTTGAGTACCAATAGTTAAAATATTTGTAGCTTAGGGTTGAATTTTGAGGTCCTTGGTGCTCTCTGAGCTGGACTGTTTTCTTGCAGACATTGCATTACCCAGCTAAGTAACATCGCTGATCACTGATGTTACCTAGTTGGATAATGAAACATCTGCAGGAAAACAACCGAATGCAGAGAACACCAAGGACCCCACAGCTTCCTTCCCCTCTTTTTTTGGAGTGCTCACAAGAAACTGCTTGCATTATTTTATTTATTTTTTGCCATAAGGGAGCGAATATTTGGGATTTTTTTTAAGCTAGGACTACCAAAGAGCTGAATTATGAGCCGAAGGCAACATTTTACACTTTCGTAATGAATTTCTTTTTTATGAGCAAGATAGGCACAGCCAGAGAAGTAGCCAATTTGGCTTTTATAGAGGAATTATCTTGAGGATAACTTTGAAGTTTCTCTTCGACGTGGTGTTATTTCGACAACACTCTCCAAGTGTATTGCTTCCCAAAAAATAATGTTTCATTACCTATAAGAAGCATGTGAGACCTTTTTCTCTTCTTTGTGTGTACAGCTGAGCCATACAAGTGATCCTTATTGACCCCAATTGGGTGACTCTACTGCTAATTGATGCAGTCGTTAAACAAAAAGACGCCTGCACGTGTGCAGCTTAGGGTGTCTGTCTGTCAATCCTGCCAGCAGTTAAGTGAATCACTGTGGGTTGTTAAGTGTAGTGGCACATGACTGTGACTTGAGATTTCTTCTTGGCTTCCCTACTGACCTGGCGGGGAAGATTACAAATAGAGTTAACCATAATTACAGGATGCTGCAAGGCTATAACTGCGAGCTGGTTTGCCAAGCATTTCCATCGTGATCACGTGACAGTGGGGACACTGTGATGTTGTAACTTTGAGGACTGGCTATAAGACTCCTATTTTACTGCTGTCGTAATTTCCAAGAGTTGCTGAATGAAACGGTTACTAAGTGAGGAACTAACTGTACTTGTTGGATGCTGTTAGTTTCGAGGTGTAAGCAGGTGGATTCACAATCATTTATGCATTTTCGATCCTACTCAAGAAGCAAATATTCCATTATTCCTAAGGGTTTATATTTATTGCATGAGTTTATCAAAGAGCAAATGGTGGATTATGTATTACAGGGAGTCCTCAATTTACAACAGTTCATTTAGTGACCATTCAAAGCTACAACAGCTCTGAAAAATGTGATCCAGGATCATTTTTGGACACTTATGACCATTGCAGCATCCCCATGGTCATGTGAGTCACATTCGGCTGCATGAAAACTGACTCGCATTTATGACGGTTGCAGTGTCCTGGGGTCACGTGATCCCCTTTTGCAACCTTCTGACGATCAAAGTCATTGGGGAAAGCCAAAATCATTTGACAACCATGTTGGCAACTTTAGAATTAATGCAGGGTGAAGAAAAGTCATAAAGCGGGGTGAGGAAAGTCATAAAGTGGGGCAAAACTCACTTTAACAAATTCCTCACTTAGTGACATAAACATTGGGCTCAGTTATGGTCGTAAGTTGAGGACTACCAGTACTTGGGGGTCTCTTCGGGAAGTTGTAGAATTCTGTTCCTAGAAATGAGAGACTAATGCACGGAATACCCGTGTGTGTGCACCTCTTCCTGTTGCAGTGTGTGTAAAGCTGGTGGAAGAACTGTTGCAGTACAGGCTGCCCAGGCGTCAGGGGAGCTGTCAGGCTCAGCAGGTCACCCTCTTCCAATATTGGAGCCATTTTGAGGCCCTGCCTGTGGTTACACTGGACTCCTACATCATGGAGCTGGCCGAAGAAGGTATCGTGTGTTCAGCTACATTACAATGGGATGGGCAGCCCTTTTGCAGCTGGGGGCCACCAGGGAACAGTCCAATGGTCCCAAAGAGAAAATAATGTATTGCTGAAGTTCAGTGTTTATTCTGTGTTTCGGTAGCTCTGTTAAAGCAAAAGCATCCAACCTTGCCAATTTTAAGACTTGTGGCTGGTGTAAGGACCCACCCCACTTTGCATCTTAAGAAGACAGAACTCCTGGAATATTTCTTCCAACAGGCATCTTTATTAAGAGAAAATGGTTGCAGGCGTTCTAGACAGGACTTGGGGGCCAAGCGCTATGGTTCAAGGTTTTAAGGGGTTCCCAGCAACCCCACCCCACCCCACCATCCTTCCAGTGACAATCCCAGGCGTTACACTTCCACCCCCTTTTTCCTCACTGATGGCGGGAGACTGCAGAGGGGAGTAGATGAAAGCTGATGGCCCCATTGTTATGGTTAGTCCTTTTGGTGGTATCCACATTCAGTCCCTTCTGAAGTTGTACCGAAGGAAGTGAGGGCCATAAACCCCTTTGTTCACCCCCCCCTTCCCCTTCCTCGTATGACAGAATCCAGAGAGGGCAGAAATGGGGTTTTCCATAGTCGATAACTAGAGATGAAATATAATTGCATTCTGACAGCTGGGGAATTCTGGCAGTTGAAGTCCACAAGTCTTAAAAGTTGCCATGGTTGGATACCCCTGGCCTAAAGGTGCTGCGGAGGCGCCACAGACAACTCTCTTAGGCTACAAGGGCGATTCCCAAGTGTGCTTGACACCACTTAAGGGTGTGAGGGCAAGCTGATTTGCTTGTGTGAATAGCTGCCATCAATTAAATGCCATAAAAGTGGTGTGATCTCAGAAGTGAGAATTTTTAGCATGGACCATCTTAAAAGACACCTAGAGCAGTGGTTCTCAACCTGTGGGTCGGGACCCCATTTGGGGTCGAACGACCATTTCACGGGGGTCACCAAACAATGCAGTCCGCCATTTTTCCCCCCCTTTTTCTTAGCTGTGCTATTCCCTTTTATTCTACTGGCTTTTGAAAGCCAATAGAATAGACTCTCTTGAATAGAGTCTAATTCTATTGGCTTTCAAAAGCCAATAGGAATTGTCCAGGCTGTCTCTGCCCTGCTGAGCCCGCCAAAAGTCCCATTCTGCAAACGGTGCTGCACCAGTTGAGTAGTCCTCGACTTACGATCGGTTGTGTAGTCCTCGACTTACGACCGGTTGGGGGTCGCGGCATTAAAAAGGTTGAGAACCACTGACCTAGAGGGAAAGCAAAAGGATTGGGTTTGTGATTTCCTCAGTTGGACTATTATCAGCTGCTTTGGGCAAGATCCAACTTGAATCATGCTGTCATTAATACCAATGCTTGTTTTCTTTAATTGGCCTGCAGTCCTGCTAGCACAGAACCTGAATTCGGATGACCAAGATGTGGTCTTGAAGGCCTTGAAGCGAGTTCCCGAGAGCCGGCTACACAAGGATGGGCTGAAGGCTTTGAGTTTGCTTCTTGTCGAAGGAAACACCAAAGTTATTGGAGCTGTAACAGCACAATTACGCAACCTATCAGAGAAGCCCAGTTTTCGGGAGCGGGCAAGTATTTAACATTTTTACCAGGTCATTGGAATAGATAGACGAACAGATACCTGGTTCCTACATGCAGCCATATTACACATTCTTAAAGGAAACGTTTTCTGGGATTTTTGGTTTTTTTTTTACGATAGGCATTTGATTGCTGCAATTTCTGGAGATGGGTAGACTTGTGCATTCGCTTTAGGGAGCATGTGGGTTGGGAGAATTCATGGTGTAGATCAGGGGTCTTCAAACTTGGCCCTTTTATGACTTGTGGATTTCAACTCCCAGAACTCCTCAGCCAGGCACGCGTGCATGGCTGAGGAATTCTGGGAGTTGAAGTCCACAAGTCATAAAAGGGCCAAGTTTGAAGACCCCTGGCCTATACTGTAAACCAAAACCCTCAGGTGTCTGGGACGTGCCTGGCTGAGGAATTCTGGGAGTTGAAGTCCACAAGTCATAAAAAGGGCCAAGTTTGAAGACCCCTGGTGTAGGTTGTATGATGGAGAGAGGACGGCATTTATAAAATCTGCTGCTCTCTATTCTTTATCTGCACAAACTTTCAAAGCCAAGGGTTTTAAAACAGATATAATGACACACATCACCCTAAAAGAGGAGGTTGCTTTCCTTGGAGGCCTAGAAGACTGATTGGTTTGATATTTTTCTCAGGCCCTTATCTGCTTTTTGGAGCAGTTGGAGGACGAAGAGACACAGACGCGGGTAGCTGCCTGTGCAGCTCTGGGCTGCCTTAAGGTGAGGGCTGATTCTTTTGAGCATAAATCACCTGTAACTCTGCGTCTTTCCCAATATTTATTGGCAGCTGCTTCTCAGAATAAATGTATTTGGTGGAGACAGCATTCGGAAGAAGCAAGATTTTGGAGGAGATTATTGTTTGTTTGTTTATTTATATGCTGCCCATTTCGCTATCTGGATGCCTTTGTTGGCCATCCTGTTCTCTCTGTAAGAGCTTTTAGAAGCTTGCAGATGTATTTGAGTCCTCGGCCAACTTCATAACGTGTCTGTGGAGCAGCCTGAACTGAAAAACAAACTTAGCACCCTTGGGAAAGATCCAGTTTTGCTTCTTTTTTTCTGTTGGGAAGTGTCCCCTCCAGATGTCTCTGGATACAGCCAGGCATAAGGGATCCATCATTAACTTAGGTCATTGGTCCCACTGTCAAAGTGTTCTACCTGTAAGGCAGCGGTTCTCAACCTGTGGGTCGGGACCCCATTTGGGGTCGAATGACCATTTCACGGGGGTCGCCAAACAACGCAGTCGGCCATTTTTTCCCCCCTTTTCCTTAGCTGTGCTACTCCCTTTTATTCTATTGGCTTTTGAAAGCCAATAGAATAGACTCTCTTGAATAGAGTCTAATTCTATTGGCTTTCAAAAGCCAATAGGAATTGTCCAGGCTGTCTCTGCCCTGCTGAGCCCGCCAAAAGTCCCATTCTGCAAACGGTGCTGCACCCATTGAGTAGTCCTCGACTTACAACCGGTTGAGTAGTCCTCGACTTATGACCGGTTGGGGGGGGTCGCGGCATTAAAAAGGTTGAGAACCACTGCTGTAAGGAATTCTTTTCTTGGTGTCCCATAACTGAAAACGGGGACTCCCAAGTACTGTAATTGGAAAGGTGGATCCTGATTGTCACCTGGGCAAGTTCCCCTCAGGTCCTTGAGGAATGATGTCATTTCCTCTATCTTTTCACTCCTCCAACCAACAGGCCAAGGAGAGCATTGAACAGCTGGTTTATCTGTGCCAAACTGACAAGGAAGCCGTGCGAGACGCAGCCAAACAGAGCCTCCTCATGTGTGGTAAGTCCACTTCCCTTACTTCCTTTCCAGACAGCCTTCATCTTCTTCTACCCTAGAAGAAGGGCTCATTGCTGGTGGGATGGAGAGCGTGGGGGTCTCAGTACACGTGGAATGATTTCAGTTGACTTGATACGAGCTCTGCAGTGCTTGGTTATAAAAGCCCTGTCCTTCCTAAATCTCCAGTCCTCCTCTTGATCTCTGCTGGTATCACAGCTGGGGTTGGCCTCCCACTGTATCACTACTACTCCTTGCTTAAGGAAAACTGGTGGCGCAGTGGTTAGAATGCAGTATTGCAGGCTGACTCTGCCCACTGCCAGCAGTTCGATTCATACCAGCTCAAGGCTGACCCAGCCTTCCATCCTTCTAAAGTCGGTCAAATGAGGACCCAGATTGTTGGGGGCAATAGGCTGACTTTAAACCGCTTAGAGAGGGCTGTAAAGCACTGTGAAATGTATATAAGTCTAAGTGCTAGTGCTATCCTGGAAAGAGAATAAAGGCACTTACGTAGTCCTTGCTGTTTTATTGTCCTTTGATAGATGGCACTGAAAGAACCCTCTGATGGGTCAGGACAGCGGCTGCACAGGTTGGGATCTCGTAGCTAGCCGGTTAGCTACCCTTCCTTGCCCCTGTTGCATGTCTAACCGGTGTCTCTTGTCCTGGGTCCCATCAGACCTGATACGGTTGGGTTTACGTCTTCACTGTGGCCCTAAGTTGTAGGCATCTTCCAGCTGTGCTTGTGTTCTGGCTCTGCACGTCTGTCTTTGTTGCATATGGAATGGCACGCTGGTTGAGGGACTCTGCCTTAATCCCAGATTAAAGGTTCACACAAGATGCTACAACTGACTAAAATGAAATTGGATAACTGTGTGTGTTGTGTGAATCTAATAACTGTCTTAGTGGAAGTGAACCACACTATCCCGTTAACCCTAAATGTGGTTTATTTGTTCAGGTGTTGCATGCGGTATGAACCCAGTAATTGTATTTTGTTCATTTGGGCTTAAGAGTTAGCATGTGGCGTGTCGCTAGTGATTGTTTGCCCATCGAGCACTGCATTGCCCATGCTGTGCAACCTTAGCTTGCCATGGCTTTTGGTAGGACCCCACACACTGAGAAGGTTCATCTAAAGTGGGATTCAGAATTTCAAACCACACTTTTCTTCCAGCCCAATAAAACTAACCCATTTCATTTTTTTCTTCATGAATCAGAGGAGATCATAAGTAAGGTTACTGTAGAATCCCAAGATTATTTCAGAGCCATTGACTGAGCCAAAGAAATAAGCGGTACTTGAATGCTCAGATATCTAGAACTCATTGAGGTCTTTCCCTTCTGCTGATTCCTGGTCTTTTTAATCAGAGAGCTCAATTCTTTTGAAGATAAATCACACCCACTTTGGGGGTTTGTCACTGGCCTGTCTATATTGTCCTAGACCTAGTTTTTGATTTTAAGGAAAGCACTTTTTTTTGGCAGTTCTTTCTGCTCAGAATATTTTGCATCTTTAAGAAGCTTGAATAGTTTGGCAGAGTAAAGATTCTTGCCTCATTTATTGAGGAGTGGGAGAGCAACAGGAAAATAGTCTCAGATTGGGGTACTTCCTTCAAACTGCATTGCCCCCAATTCTGACACCACCCCAAACGAAGCTAGTTTAAACCCTTGCCAAGAAGCTCAGAAACAATAGGGTGGAAATTCCCCATGCTTGTCAACGCTAGGAATACTGATCGAAGAGATCATACTTAATGAAAGTAAATCTGGATTTTTTTTCTCGTAACCTTGCCTGCTCTTTTAGGGTGTCCATTTGAAAGCCAAATCTGGTCCTTGGCTTGAGAAGTGCAACACGCTCATATCCTGGAAAATCTACCCAAGCTTCTGGTTGAATTAAATTTCACAGCTACCAGGATTTAAAAAAAAAAAAAAACATACTGTTTTATTAGTCTGCAAATTCTCCAAAGTTGTCTTCAGGGCAGCCTGAAAAGGTTCATGACACTAATTTCTTTCCAAAACACCCAGATACTTCAGAATTCGGAAAAGCAGCAAGATGGTTTAATTAATTAATTTAATGAGGACCCAGATTGTTGGGGGCAATGTAAATATATATTATATTATACACACACACACACACACACACACACACACACACACACACACACACTGCTTACTGGTGTACACCGCTTAGAGAGTGCTTGCACTTAAAGCGGTATATAAGTCTCATAAATAAATAAATAAATAAATAAATTTTCCCTGGGCTTTATTAGCCTTCCCCAATCTAGTGCAAAACCCCAAAATGATCAAAAGTTCCTAGGAATTCTGAAAATTGCTGCTCAGGTGTCTGAGAAGAACAAACACGGATGTAGTACTTAAGGGACAGTGAATAGGTCCCCAAAGGATGAGTTTGTACAAATTGAACAAAATGCTTGATAAAGGCCTTTAAATGAGAGATGTAATGTTGAAATCCACATGCTATACATGATCTGTTGCAATGTCTACCCAGCCATTCTGTGTTCTCTAAGTTATCTGCTTAGCATGCCAAGATGTCTCTTGCTGTGAATTTTACACACAAAATTCTCCGGCTTGTTAGCCCGATGATGTATGTCTCCCAACCATCCTTCCCGTGTTCACATGCATGTGGTCCGAAGAAACAAATATCACCATGGAACAAATTATAAACATATCTCCCCCTAGCTTAAACGTAAGAGAAAGGGCAGAAATAGTGAAATACATGATCAGCTGAAGGACTTCACATATCACATTATAATATGTTTGGTGGGGCCCCTCAAGCAAAATTTTGTTGTGACTAACGAGATGTAAGAATTAGCAGAGAATAAGACAAATCGGTAACAAAACCAAAAATATTTAAGAACTGAGCACATACTTAATTCTTAAACAAACACTTCCTTAAAAAAGAAGGAGTTTGACCGTCAACATTTACATTGTGAACAATTATTATACTTGGATCATGGTCCAGGGTCAAAATTCCAGCATGCGATTAGACCATTATATTAATTATAATTAATATAATTATATTATAAACCATGTTCCTGAAAAACTGCCACCATTTTGCCTGCAAGTGAGCAGCTAGGAAAGGAAACATCCAAGAAAGTAGGACTATTTTTTTTTTTAAACCCGGGTCAGATTTTTTTGTACACGGCCAAGAAAGGCAGATTTTTGCACGTGGCCTGCACGTGGCATGCCTGGCTGAGGAATTCTGGGAGCTGAAGTCCACAGGTCCTAAAAGGGCCAAATTTGAAGACCCCTGATTTACAGACTTGGTGTCCAAAGTCGAGGCAGAAATTATTCCTGATGGGCACCTGACTTCTGTCTATCTTTTCAGGGGACGATGGCAAGTCAGCTCATCGAAGGCTAGAAGAATCGCTGGACAATTTGCCACGGATCTTTGCCCCAGGCAGCATGGCTAGTACCGCATTCTGAAGGACGCAGCATAGATCCAGCTGCTGATCCTTCGTTGGGCACGGACCTTGCATGGCACAGAGCTTCAGAGGAGTCCTTCGAAGTCAGACCAGCCTGTCACAGAGTGGGCAGCTCTGTCACTTGTGGGGCAGGCCCACACCGCAGTATTAGCACCGCTGGCCTGCTGCCTTACGTGGACAAATGCCTTAGCTCGTTGGCTCTAGCAGCTAACAGGAATGTAAGGCACGGAGGGGACCCTCTCTGTGGTTTTCTCCTCCTACAGAAGCCTACTGAATTTGGAGGACGGTGTTGAACTGGGCATGTTATCATTAGCCAGGACCAAAATAGATCCCTTTCTGGAAAAAAAACAAACAAACCAGGAAATAGTGGGAAAGGCCATCTGCTTGGGAAGATGCACGTCGAAAGTCCTGCTTAATGCTTAACCTGTTCTTTTCTCCACTGTTTTTCTCCACCCTCTGGGACTGTGAATCTTGCAGGAAATTGGGGCCAGCTAGATCCTCTGTCAGTGCTTTGGATAAATTGCAAATTTCTCCTGGATTGCAAGGCAGAGAGAGAGAAGACACAGGAAAGAGTCCTTACTCCCAGCGAGGGAAGAGGAACCAATGTCTTTTCAATGACGATGCCATGGAAGATGGAAACGAAACGGGCGAAAGTTGCCTCTTCTTGTGCTATTTTAATATTTTTTATGTACATGTGTGTGTGTGTGTGTGTGCGCGTGTTGTGTGTGTGTGTGTTGGGGTGGGGAGGGAGGCAGCAGCCAAATGGAAGCAAAACGTCCTTTTTTTACAAAGTATCTATAAATTTATCTGTACATCTACATAGCTATAAATATATATATAGTGCTCTCCAACAATGGACGGAACAACGAAGCACTGATAACGGAACAACGGCAAGAAACATCGCGACTGCGCGCAAGAGAGAGAGCGTGGAAATGAACAGCAAACCGCTCAGGAGAACCTACGGGAAAAAGGAGGGGAGGAGGAATAGCATGGGGGGGGACTATGAGCTTGTGTTACAATCCCGGGAGATAGGAAAACAGGATCAAAGCAGCCTTGGGGCATGTAGTGATATTGGAGGCAGTGTGGATAATTGCCTACCCCCGCTCACAAAGGGAAGTGATGTCTGGGATGGTGGAGGGGTTACGAATAGGGAAGGAAAAAGGACTTGGGCTTCCAACCCGTTAACAACTAACGAAGCAACATATGATCGAACTCAAACTAACCATGGAACGGAGATAGATGCTGACGTGGGGCGTATGCTTAGGACTCAGCCCGATCAGCTGGGGCCTATGACGCGCTCCAGGAGCCGGAAACAGGCATTAAACAACGGTATATAAGACTCCCCCGTAGTTTGCCTTTTAACCCTGACGATGTCAAATGTATTTGACGAAAGCTTGGTGGATTAAATTTCTATTTTTATAGATATTCTCTTGGTGATCGTTATTATTTGGACAATATAAATATATATATATATATAATGTAATTATCAAGAGGTTTGGCTAATTTTGACTTTAAGCCTGAAATAAACAAGTTTGAGCAAGTAAATTGAAAGTGTGTAATTTTGTTGACGTTGTTTATGTTTGGGGGGGGGGGGGCAGATTTCCGCAGCAGCTGTGGGAAGTACTACAAATTAGGTCAGCAAAATGTAACATTTAGCAAACGTTCCGATTCACTTAACATGACAAGAGAGGTGATAAAATCGGGCAAAACTCACTTAACAAGTATCTCGCTTAGCAACAGCAATTTTGGGCTCAGTTGCGGTTGTAAGCTGAGGACTCCCTGTAGATGTTTGGGGGAAAAAAAACATTTCAGCACAAACTGAGTCAAAGCAGCTCTCATTGCTTTGAGTTCGACGATCGATATTCAGTTAGCTGGGGTTTCCATCCAATTAGTGAGCATAGAAATTTACAATTTCACCTAATAATAAAGCAACGAACCTAATCACCCCTTTGTTGCAATATGAAACAGATCATGATTTTACTGTGTAAAATGGATTTCCTTCCCCAGCCTTGTTTAGGACCTTTTAAGGTGCATTCTGCTGAAAGAAGTACAACCCAGAAAAGTGTAGATTCATTTCTAATTAAAGAAAACTAGAGGAATTGTAGGCCCAGCCTGTACAACAAATGGAAGAGGTCCAAGTTAGTACACTACGGCGTGGCAAAAAAAAACCCCTCAAGTCTAGCAGCGCCTTTTCCAAATAGCATGTTTTTGTTTTAAAAAAGATCTACCTTTCGGAAAGCTTATGCCCTTTAATAAACTATGTTTGCTGGAAAGGGTGCTGTCAGATCCCAGATTTTTACACTAAACTGATAAAATGAAAAACAGAAAAAGGTAATGGCAAACCACTTCTCTAGTGTTGCCAAGAAATCCACATGGTGTGTTAAAGCAAAGAGATATTGGACAATAATCCACACTTGGTTAGAAAAAATGTTAGAGAAACACACAAGACTATAAACCTGAATTTCTTTTACTGGATATAATGCAAGGAAAACTCGATAAGCAAAGTACATAGTTGATTCTACATGTGATAACAGAGGCAAGAATTATATTTGCACAATATTGGAAGAATGAAGAAATACCACCAGAAGAAATAATCAAAAAAATATTAGACTGTGTAGAAATGAACAGACTTACTTTAAGGTTGAAAGAAAAAGAAGAAACAGAATATTTTCAAACTTGGGACCTATTTTATCAATGTTAGAGAAAAGAGTTAGGGATTAGGAATTTAATTTGTATTAATGAATACGATACTCAGACAACACGTTATTGTTGAATAATTATTATTGAATTCTATTAAAAAATAATAAAACTTAAAAAAAATCCACATGGTTATCTATGATGTTCCCAACAGCTGACTTTATTTAGGGCGCTTTGAACCTTTTGGGTAGTTAAGAAATGCTAACAGTGGGTACATGTGATTGCTGTATACTTCCTATATTATTGGAAGACAGGAGTCTTTTTCAAATGAAATATGGATTTTTATTTGTGCAGATAAAATGAGGAAGTTAGACTCTTCCAATCACCATCACTTCCTGTTCTGAAAGTAGTACAGTACATTTAACTCATATGGATTAATGGAATGTCTGAAACCTGCCCATTAGAACATACTGTACTGTCCTTGGAAATTTCAAAGAAAGTAATAACTCTCTTTAAAGACTTCCAACCAGTTGATCGTGTTTTTTGTACTGTATTATGCCTCTGGCAAAATAAGCATGACTCTGGATAGTCTCACAACTATTAGCCATTATGTCCATCTGCATCACGTATGGTATCCTACAATTATGTCCCATTCTGGCACTGCTGAGCCAAGGCTCTTCTCAGATTTTGCATTATCTTTGAATACCTCCTTGCAAAATGAAGGCCATTCTTTTCCACTGACCCAGCTGTGGACAATCTTTTATGTTTGTCTCCATATTTGATTGCAAAAGTTTGCAATGGCGCACATTTTTGTTTGTTTTATCCCATGTGCCTGTGGCTGCACTATGTGTGGCGTATGTGGAGGTATAATTGAAAAAGAGTTGGAAGGCACCTTGGAGGTCTTCTAGTCCAACCCCTGATCAAGAAGAAAATACTATACACAGACCCACGTATACTTTTAACAGACATGCACATACACACGTATGCAAATAGAGGTAAGCGTGTGTTTATGCATGTATGTATAGAGGCAAATAGAGGTAAGCATGTGTGTTTATGCATGTATGTATAGATGCTTCTTTATGCTAGCCCAGAATGTCCCTCTCTCAGCCCAACCCACCTCGCAGGGTCGTTGTAGGGAAAAAAATAAAGCTGCGATACAAATAAACGGGAATACTGTAGGGCGCCATCTCCCTGCCCGCTTGGCAGCACCGCCTACAGGGGGCGCCAGAGGGCGACGTGGCCCATTCGGCGAAAAGATCCCCGCCCTCTAAATCTTCGGGGCTGCCGTTTGTTTTGCCTTCCCGCCCAAACCGCTCCGTCGCGACCCAAGGATCCGGCGCCCTTCTTGCCCACGAGCCCCGAGGGAAGAGGCAGGCAGGCAGAGCCCGTCCCGGTGCCGGCCACCCTCCCAGGCCCGCGGGGGTAGGCCGGGGCGTGACGTCACGGCCCCTCCCCGCGCCTTGACTGAGCGCCGCCGCCCGAGCGGGCCGTCGGCATTTAAAATTAGCGCCCAGCGTTTCTTCCCATGGTGCCCCGCGCGGGCGCTTCTCCCGCTCCCTCCTCCCTTCGATCGGGTCCGGCGGCCGCGGCTGCCGGGCTCGCGCAGGCGCACCGCGCGCCCCGTCCGCCATTTTGTGTCCGAGGCGACTGTGGAGCGATTAAACCGCGAGCTGGTGCTGGGCGCTGGCGGTGGCCGCTAGCGGCGGGGCAGCGGCAGCGGGCGCTTGGCGGAGCCCAACGGGGCGGGGCCCGGGGCAGCAGGGCCGGCCCGGAGGCTCCTCCGGGGCAGGTAAGCGGCGCGGGGGGTTTGCAGTCGCTTTCTCCGGCCTCTAGGTGTCACGATGGGGCTCGGGCTGGGACCCGCCGCGGCGCTGCTGCCGCCGCCGCCGCCGCCGCCGATGGGGAGCGGGGCTTTGTCTCCCTCTACCGTCCCCACCGCCCTGATGCCGGCCTGGTACTGCCGCCCATCGGCCTGGCCGCGCAGCGCCTCTGCCGGAACCAGGCCGCGCCTGGCCAGGACGCCGCGCCGAGTCGGCCTGCTGCGCCGCCGCCGCCGCCCACACGCGCTCCCCGCCGCCTGGCCGGCCTCTCGAGGGCCGCCCCGAGGGACGCGCAGCCCCGACCCCGCCGCCTGCGGGGATCGCCCGGACTCGGCTGCGCTGCCTCGCCGCCATTACGACAGCCGCGTCCCGGGCGCTCCCGCCGCCCCGGCCCTTCCCCGTCCCGCGGCGGCGGCGGCAGTAGCACCGCCCTGCTGGCTTCCCGGAGGCGTCTGCGGCGCCCCTGCCCGATCCAGCCCCGCTCCCCTCGTCTGCCCGCCGCCACCCTCGTCTGCCCCCCCCGCGCCCTCCGCCGCCTCCTCCCGCCCCGGCTGACCGTGCTGGTGCTGCGGGGCGCCGGTCCGCGCGGCCGCCCGTCCCTGCCCGCCCGCTCCCGCCGGCCGCCTGCTCGCTGTGCGCGTTGCGGCGCGAGAGGCGCTGCGAGCTGAAGAGCGGGACTCGAGCTCCCTCTTGCCAGGCAGGCAGAGCTGCAGCGCCATGCAGCGCGGGCGAGCGCCAGGCGGGGACGCCCGAGCTCGCCCGGGAGGAGCTCAGGCCGGGCTGCCCGCCTGCCCCTCGCCCGCCCCGGGGAACGGCGGCTCCCCCCAGCCAGACGCCTGGCTTTGGAAGCCCTGGAGCCCCTCTGGCTCTCCCCGCCCGACTCCGCTCTTGGGCGGCGGGCATTTCAGACAGCCGGCGAATGGAGGCCGCTGCGGGGATTTTGCAATGCCCGTCTTGGTGCCATCTGTCCGCGGGCTTTCCTTCTGGCAGCCTTGCAAAAGGGCGGCTCTCCGCTCCCCCCCCCACCCCGGCCCTCCTGCTTTGGTTCCCATCGATGGGCATTCGGTAGAAGGGCACTTTTGTATTATTTTCTATTTTATGCCTGGCTCGATTTGGGCCATGTTGCTTCCCCCCCCTTTTATTGGATTGGAAAGCTTGACAGTTGGGGAGGAAGGAAGGAAGGAAGCTTATGCCCCATCGAGCAGCTGCTGCTGCTGCTGGAAAGTTGGTAGGCCTGCTGACTCTCTTCCTCAAATTAGACAAGGGCTTCAAGATCAGAGATCATTTGCTCAGGGTGGCTTGTGATAAACAGGAGAAGATAAACCGGGCAGGATCAGGCCGAAGGCCGCTTTAAGAGGCTGTTTTCTCAAATCCCCCCCTCACCCAACCGGTTGCTTTTTTTGGGGAGGGGAAAAGCTCATGAAAAAAGGATGGAGGGTAAATTGCCTCCGGCTTACATCACTGGTTTGCTTGGCTCTGAGATGGAAGCAGTTCTCTCCAGTTTTAACATACATCTGGTTTAGAATTCTGAAATCAACGCTGCCGCCTTGAATATTTTACGCTCTAAAGTTGATGTAAGCGTGAATTTAGTGTCTTTGTAACTGCAGATATCTCTTGATAAGGTGGAATCTAAGCCACGGTATATTGGTCTACCAGATAATTTAGAAAGTAGAAATCCCCCCCCCATAAAATTCTGTAAGTATGTTTTTAGGGCAAAATAAGGCTTTGGCTGCTGTTGTGCACACTAGCCAACATGTGCCAAAATTGAGCATTAGTCTCGTCACATAATAAGCACAAAACGCTTGCGCTAAGGCTGATGATCTAATCTGTACCTTATGTTACTAAAAAGTATTACGTTGAAAACCTAAATTAAACCAAGCCATGATGGGTGGAAGAGATTATCTATGGGTCCACGTGATAATAATCATGGTGCACAGAATTGGAATGTAAAAAGTCACTAGGTGAGATGAATAGCATAGATTGCTTTTAAAACCAAAGGGGGGGGGGAAATAGATATACTGTGGACTTGAATGTATGATTACATGAAGGGAGGTGAGGGGCTAGTTCAGGGGTTTGCAACCTTGACAAGTTTAAGACTTGTGGACTTCAGCTTCCAGAATTCCTCAGCCAGCATAGCTTGCTGAAGAATTCTGGGAGCTGAAGTCCACAAGTCTTAAAGTTGTCACTAGGTGTATTAATGAATGAAAAAAGCTAAAATGAGTATTACAATGGATAGATGTTATTGGAGTTGTCTAGGTTACACATGAAAGTAGAGATCCGTAGATTGGTGGTGGATATTCATTGTATTCATCTTCAACAGGTTTTTGACATGGGAACAATTGCTATTTTACCCTAATAGTTACAATTCTGCTTTTGACATATAAATACCAATTAAAGGTTTCCAAAAGATACTTTTGGATAATTATCCTTAGATAATTTTAGATATGGTCTTTTCAGTCAGATAGCTCGGTTATTACAGTTCTCAAATATTATCCATTTGTGTTTAGTCTGTTTCCTCAACTTTTCTAAAATGTGGTTTGTTTCCAAAAACTAAATTAATTGTTCTTTTTATTGTTACGCTTGGCTTCTTCTTCATTTTAATCTTTTGGCTACCATGAAATAGATGAATATCATATGATCCTTAAATTACCATTCTGCACTCTTTCACCTAATACTGAATTGTACAAAAAAGTTAAATGTTTAAAAGTTAAATCCACAACATATCTTTATCAAAAGTGCAATTATGTATGTGATTTATGGAGAAATGTTTAAATGTTAAATATGCGATTTTGAATTATGTACCAAATAATATTATATAAGTAGAACCTGACTAACATAGACAGTTAAGGAATTATGGCTCTAGTGTGCATTGTTGGGGTGGCTAAAAGAATAATATTGAGAATTGATTGTATTCCAGATATTAAAGATTGGCTTTTGGAAATCTATAACTAGTCTGTCTTAGAAGAGGCAATATTTTCTATTAATCAGAGGATAAATCAATATATTCTTTGGCATAGATGTTATTTTATAATCTTATATACTGTTAATATAATATTGAGAGTATTTGACAATACTATTATATTGTATTTTTTTGTAAAGCAATGACTAGTTTAATATATAAAATGTAGACTTGTTTTGTTTGCTTTCCTTTTCCTTGTCTTTTTATCATTTTTATTTTTACCTATTGTTTGGTTTCATTTTGTTATTGTTATGTACTTGGTAGTTTGCTTATATTCTGTATCCTTTCAATAAAGAATTTTTAAAAACATAAACAAAAACAAAAGGTTAGGGGGCCTGATTAAATGTTGGAACTGATCGAGTCAGTCCAGCAAATATTGTATGACTTCTTTATTACTGTACAAATAGAATTTAACCTGCATTGCAGTTTCATTGATTTTAGAGAGGGCTTATTCCTTACTACATTTCCCTGAATGATTCACACTATTGTATTGGAGATACTTTCTTCCTGTGACCTGATATTCACAGCATGTTGTGAAATATGGTTCAGAATTACAAACGGTTAAGCCCTACCTTGCTTTGGAAATAATCTCATGGGTTTTGTGTAGGCTTTTAAAATCCCAGAGCTCTCCTGTCAACTTAACTGCATTCACCTTGCCATGGAATCAGATAACTATCTAGTCTTACCTTCAGTGTCTGGATTTATCTAGTATCAATCTGTTCTTCTAACATAATTGTGTTGGCTTTTCGCTTAGCAACTCTGGAAAAGACTGGATGTACCCTGAGTATTTCTGACAGGACCTGATGTATTGATTAATCAAAACATTTTGAATTTTTTTGAGCCAAGACCAATATTTTGGGAATGTACTGTACAAATATTCAAATTGAAAATGCGGATTATAGTTTAAAATCATGTTTAATATTGGATTTAAAAAATTTTAATATGTTATTTTACATTGTTATTATATTAAATGGGTCTTTTACCATACATAAATATCTGCATTGAATTCCTGGATGGAAGCCACAGGCAACATGTACTGTTTTGATGGTACAATCAGAATAGATTGATAATTATTAGAGTAGAAAAATCAATTCAGGCTGTGTCAAGCCCAAACATACACAGCAAATTACAGGTAGTCCTCAACTTATAATTAAACCCAAAATTTCTGTTGCTAAGTGAGACATTTGTTAAATGAGTTTTGCCCCATTTTCCGACTTTTCTTGCCACAGTTGCTAAGTGAATCCCTGCAGTTGTAAAGTTAGTAACGTAATTGTTAAGTGAATCCGGCTTCCCCATTGACTTTGCTTGTCAGAAGTTTGCAAAAGATGGTCACATGACCTCAGGACATTGCAACTGTCATGCCAAATGTCTGAATTTTTAACCCATGACCATGGATTTGCTGCAATGGTCCTAAGTGTGAAAAACGATCATAAGTCACCTTTTTTCAGTGCTGCTGTAACTTTGGACGGTCACTAAATGAACTGTTGTAAGTCAAGGACTCCCTGTACAATCGGTTCCAGTTCTTTATTTGTTTACACCTAGTGGACAAAAACTTTCCAAACTAAAGTTATAACCTTCTAACCTACTAGATATATCTTGAGAGATTCTAAGGCAGTGTTTCTCAACCGTGACAATTTTAAGGCATGTGGACTTCAACTCCCAGAATTCCACATGCCTTAAAATTGATAAGGTTGAGAAACACTGTTCTAAGGTGTGGCTGCTCTAAACCTCTTCCCCTTTCCCCCATCCAGTTCAGGACTACACAGTTTCTTAATCCAGGCCTCTCTAGGAAAACCCTTTGTTGCCAAACACATACACACACACACCTACCTTTCTCCAGGTGCATATTCCATCACTGGCTGATTGTTCAGAGCATATTTAAGGCACGAGACCTACAAATAATCCCAGTAGTTTACCCTACTTTATTGCAGAATGGTTCATCTGAATAATAGAGTATAGAAAATAAGATTTTTGAGCATCCATTCCCCTTTATTACTCATTGTGAGTATAACAATTTAAAACAAATGTTCTTGTCTTTCCTTTTTCCTTGGGGAAGGTAAGACACAAATTGTCCTTTAATGTTCCCTAGTCACTGTATTTTCAATAAATAACTGCAATAAATTGTAAAATTAGTCTTTAGAATATAAAACACAGCATGTTTATGTATATCAGAAGTGACCTCGAAATTCCCATAGCCGTGCTCTAGCATTAAAATTAGGGCTTTCTGGCACTTACTGTAAAGTGCTCAGGACTATATATTTTATAGGTAGCAGGTAAAATGGGTGTGCCTGTGTGAATGTGTCATTTTGCTCCCTTTGGTGACGTCTTAAGTTAGGTAATTCTTCAATTGTAGTTTCATTACAAGTGACTTATTTATATGCACATTATCTATATGATACTGAAACCAAGAATGGGAAATAATAGAATTAAAGGCGTTCAAGATAATACTGCACAGGTTTCAGTCTCTTTTCTCTGATCCTGACATTCATTTGAATTACAAACCATATATCTTAAAATATATTATTGTATCCAGTGGACACAGTTTAAGACACTCTGCTATCTAATAAGGGGATGAGTTCCTTTGAATCCACTGACTCTGGCTTAAATAATGAATTATCTACAGCTGATGATCTCATGTGTAGTCCCAAAGCAACCTCAAGAGAAAGAAAGGTATAAAAAAACGCCTAGAATGGTATCAGGCAGAGAAGAGAGGTGGAATGACAAAATCCTGTGAAGTTTATTTGCAGATTCATTTCAGAACGGCAGCATAATCCTTCCCCAAACTGCATAATATCCCAATGCTGCCGGTCACTACGGTCCGGGCTAATTATAAGGGCCTTCATAGTTCCTCTAGGAACCATAAGGATCAACCTTCAAGCCAAGTAGAAATTTACCCCAGCAAATTTGGCCTACAGCAGCGGTTCTCAACCTATGGGTCGCGACCCCATTTGGGGTCGACCGACCATTTCACGGGGGTCGCCAAGCAAGGCTGTCCGCCATTTTTCTTCCCCTTTTCCGGCGGGTGCCTTACCTCCCTTGGGCTGAGCAAGCTGGTGGCCCAGCCGGTAGTCGGCCTGCTCCGTCTCTGCCGCTTGCCAGCTACGCCTCGGCCGGCGCAGGGGGTGGCACCATGCATGCGCGGCACTCCTGGGCAGGGAAAGTCCTCGACTTACGACCTGTTGGGTAGTCCTCGACTTACGACCGGTTTAGTCCTCGACTTACGACCGGTTTAGTCCTCGACTTATGACCGGTTGGGGGTCGCAACATTCAAAAGATTGAGAACCGCTGGCCTACAGGATGTGATGTGAATGCAGCCCACCACATCCTTGTTGCCTTTTCGGCAAGCTGCCCTGGCCAATTTTAGCCTATCTTGAAGTCGGCAGCCACTTGACCCCCTTTTGTGGTGGTACTGTGGCCCCTTGCACTTGACCACTAGGTCCTCTTCAGTAGATCATCCATGCCAACCATTGACCTGCCACTGGCTTCTTTAAGGCCCTTGGCCATTGAAACCCTCTTCAGTGGCCTTCTCTGCTTAGCTCCTTGCCTTCTTACCAGTTCTAGACAGGGAGTCTTGAGAGTGCCAGTAGTTTAAATGGTGCACCTTCAGGCAGGTTCTCCCTCTGGGCCTTCTGGTTTTGGCTCCAGCTCTTCATCTTAAAGGAACGCTGCTTAGTTTTGTCTTTAGGCTCGAACAACGTATCATTTAATTCAGCTCCTATCAACAGTGTGCGGGGTTGCTGAAAAATGTTGGGGAAATGAGTGGCTGGGTGCTGTTCCTGCCTTTACATCATGCAGGTTCATCCTTCTACAAAGTGCTAGACCAGTGGTTCTCAACCTTTTTAATGCCGTGACCCCCCCCAACCGGTCGTAAGTCGAGGACTACTCAACTGGTGCAGCACCGTTTGCAGAATGGGACTTTTGGCAGGCTCAGCAGGGCAGAGACAGCCTGGACAATTCCTATTGGCTTTTGAAAGCCAATAGAATTAGACTCCATTCAAGAGAGTCTCTTCTATTGGCTTTCAAAAGCCAATAGAATAAAAGGGAGGAGCACAGCTAAGGAAAAGGGGGGAAAAATGGCGGACTGCGTTGTTTGGCGACCCCCGTGAAATGGTTGTTCGACCCCAAATGGGGTCCCGATCCACAGGTTGAGAACCACTGTGCTAGATGTACTATGGTTTTTATTAAAACAGCTTTGGATAAGAAAACAAATGAGAATGAAAATGCACACAAAATAGACAATGTGTTTCATTTTGAAAATGCGTTTTTGTTTTGGATGGAATAAACAATGTATTCTTTGGATTGGTTTGGCAGAAACAAATCCCGAAATGTTTTTTTTTTTTGTTCCAGGTTCCAGCTGAAAACAAAAGGAATCGTAGGCTGATTTTATGGGGTGAGTAGGGAAAAGATTCCTCTTTGAGAAGGCTAGTGTTTCCAAGCAATGACCCCAAAACCTGGGGTTTCTGGACACGATTATCTCCCACTGTGCAGTGGTATTTAGAGTTATATTTACTTGAAATAGTTTATTATCGCTGCAGATACTTAATGATAATTTACACTGGTGATCTTATGCTCTTTCCTAAGCTATCTAAATAGTTATTGCTACTTTTTATGTGAGTGGTTCTTGACTGAAAGTGTATTGCTATTCAGTCTTTCTAAGCCTTGCTTCATCTTTGCAGATAACCAGACCAGGATACAATGCCTGTGGCCAAACAAGTCATACCAGAATAAGAAAAGAAATTATCTTGGGAGGAAAAAGGAAAACAAAGAAGATTGTTTATGTGACTGATGTGCCACAATGGTGAGCAGCTATTGTATGGTAAAAGGGATTTACTTAAATAAACAAGCTATTTTCAAAGAGGCTTCTTCAACAGATCTGAATACTTCTGTTTCCATACATTTTTAAAATTCGTGTGTAGGAATTTAGCTGATACCATAGGAACATTCTGTGTTGCAATACCAATTTTACATCTCCCCAGGTCCCTTTGGAGGGTAGCTTAGACATCAGCTCAGCAGTTTGAAGATCAGAATTAAAATAAAATGGCATCATCATCCTCTCCTGTGCTTACTTCACTTCACCCCTTTTTTAAAAAAAACAAACAAAAAGCAATTTCCAGATGTCTAAGGAATTGGAGGGGCAGGTTGTTTGTTTTTGTTTGTGCGTTTTTAAGGGTATCTTGGGCTGCAAAGAAAATAGTAAGTCTGTTGTCCTTGGTGCAAAAGTTGGGTATTAACATTTCTGGTTTCTGGGGCTCTTGTCAAGCACAAAAAATCAGGACCACGTTAAATTTGAATTAAACTGATTTATTGCTCCTGCCTATACCCAAGAATGTAGTCAACTAATGGTTAGCTTTAAACTGATGCTAGATAAGAATTAATGGAATTCAAGGGGGTTGGATTGAGACCGCTTGTGGGAACATAATGACTCCAGGCTGATTGCTCTCTTGACTCTACCCCCAGCAAAGCCTGTCCTTCTGCAGCTCTACACATTTCACTGATCTCCTTTGTTCTCCGTACCCAAGAATAGCTTCACTGGGCATGGATGTGGGAAGCATGTGTTGTTTCTTCCCTCTACCCTAATCACTTGTTCCTGGTTTTCTACAAACCGTCCAGTAGCTTTTCTAATGTTCATTGGAGAGAGAACTGGATCCTGCAGGGAGGCACTGCTATGAAGCATAGACTGTCGCATTACTGATCCCTAGTGGTTGGATCCTCTTACTGCAACAGGCCCAGGATTCCTAAGAAATGTCATTTTGGGGATGTTCAGATTGGGAGAGTTATACAATAGATCCGTTCTACCGGAACCCATTTCTCTTCTAGTCCTGGTCGAGAGAGTCACGGGGTTGGCAGTGAAGTCACTGTGCTCAACGGAAGGGTGTCTGAGTGATTTTAGCAATGGTTAACAATACAGGAAGTCTGATCCTTTTCTCAGCAGACGCAATCTGCCAACGTTTCCCTGACCCAGAGGCCTTAAGGGTTCGGAGAATCTGCTCCATCGGTTCATGCACGGTGCTTAAGCCCGGTGTTCTCCTTTTGTTTCTTCGCCAGGAAGGTGACATGGAAGCGGACGCAGTTGAAGCTATCGGGGAGGAAACTTTCATCAAAGGCAAAGAGCGGAAGACCTACCAGAGACGCCGGGAAGGCGGGCCGGAAGAAGACGCTTGCCCGATGCCGCCCAACCAAGTAGACGGGACGGAGGTCGTGCAGGAGGTTAACGCTGGCGTTCAGATGGTCATGATGGAACAGCTTGATCCAACGCTGCTTCAAATGAAGACCGAGGTCATAGAAGGCGCCGTGCCACCAGATGCCGAAGCCACCGTGGACGACACCCAAATTATCACCCTGCAGGTTGTGAACATGGAAGAGCAGCCGATCAACCTGGGCGAACTCCAGCTCGTTCAAGTGCCCGTCCCGGTCTCGGTCCCCGTGGCCACCACTTCTGTGGAAGAACTTCAGGGGGCCTACGAGAACGAGGTCTCCAAGGGTGGCCTCCAGGAGGGGGAGCCCATGATCTGCCATACGCTCCCTCTGCCGGAAGGCTTCCAGGTGGTGAAGGTGGGGGCCAACGGCGAGGTGGAGACCCTGGAGCAGGGGGAGCTTCAGCCTCAGGAGGACCCCAACTGGCAAAAAGATCCAGACTATCAGCCCCCCGCCAAAAAGACAAAGAAAACCAAAAAAAGCAAACTCCGCTACACCGAGGAGGGCAAGGACGTGGATGTGTCGGTGTACGATTTTGAAGAGGAGCAGCAGGAGGGCCTGCTTTCCGATGTCAACGCGGAGAAAGTGGTGGGCAACATGAAGCCCCCCAAGCCAACGAAAATTAAAAAGAAAGGTAGGCCGGGCGGTCCACCTGAAGGCTGGGGGGGGGGGCAGGCCCTCAAGATTTTTGCGCTGTACGTTAATTATCCCGCAGCTCTTGAACATTTCACCGATCCCCAGGGCAGAGGTTTATTTGATTTTTTTTTTTAAAAAAAAAACCTAGCTAGGTTCAAAAAGGCAAGTCTTGATGATGGCTTAATTGTGGCCTACGTCTTCCTTGAAAGGTATGTTTCTCCGGACAGAGAGTCACACAGCTGAGTTTCACGTTCAGGTAGATGGCTTTCGTGATAAGCACTGAGCCGGATGTGGAAGCCAGAAGCCGTTTCCCCTCAGCAAAGACGGGATTGCTCCCTCAAGTGATTTCTGTTGTATTTTATGGCCCAGCTCGGGGTTAGGCCACCTTGGCTCTTCTATGACTGGTGGACTTCAACTCCCAGAATTCCTGAGCCAGCCATGCTGAAGGGAAAGAGAGAGGTTTCCAAGCTGAGCCATGCTGGCTCAGGAATTCTGGGAGTTGAAGTCCACGAGTCATAAAAGAGCCAAGGTTGCCTACCCCTGGCCTAGTTAATGTAGCTGATCCTTTACATCAGTGTTTCCCAACCTTGGCCACTTAAAGATGTGTGGACTTCAATTCCCGCTGGGGAATTCTGGGAGTTGAAGTCCACACATCTTCAAGTGACCAAGGTTGGGAAACCCCACTTTACATTCTACCCATTCGACAGAAAGACAGGATACAAATCAAGTTGTTGTCCTTGATAACGACTAAAGTTTTCTCTTGGTTCACTCAGATATGCTGGACATTTATCCCTGTAATGGGCCATCTTGTCTGTTAGAAATGCAAATAAGGGGTTCTGCCTCCAAGCAATGAACATTCTTTTCTGAATAGGGGTGAAGAAAACATTCCAGTGTGAACTGTGCAGTTACACCTGCCCCCGGCGTTCAAACCTGGACCGTCACATGAAAAGCCACACGGACGAGAGGCCACACAAGTGCCACCTTTGCGGCAGAGCTTTCCGAACAGTCACACTGCTGAGAAATCACCTCAATACTCACACAGGTACGGTGAACGGGGATGCTGCCGTGCCCTTTTCCGACAGGCTCCTTGGAGGGACTGCTGATTTGGGGGGTGCAAATGGAAAGATAAGTCGAGTCCTGGACTGTGAATGTACCTGTAATTTGTGGTGTATCAGAAATTGAGGATGCAGCACATAAATTGTTTGCGTACCAGTTGCACTCAACTGGCACAGGAAAAGAACATTATCCTGAACTATATATAAACAGCCTAGTGGGACCTGTCTCTTAAAGTATACTTCGCTGTGTAATCGGAACACAAATATTACCTACAAAGCAATCTTCTTTTTTAAAAATGAAATGGTGCGACGGAGACTTGCATGTTATCATCGTCTCGGTCAAATGAAGCCGTTGCCTGTTTGAATTTTCTTTGATCTCCATAATCCATCAGGTACTCGTCCTCACAAGTGCCCCGACTGCGACATGGCCTTTGTGACAAGCGGAGAGTTGGTTCGACATCGCCGCTATAAACATACCCACGAGAAGCCATTCAAGTGTTCCATGTGTGACTACGCCAGTGTGGAGGTGCGTTCCATGTCTAGTTTTCTATCGTCGTCGTTCTATGATAGCTACAACGATTTTCCTACTCGGTGTTTTGCCTGGAGCTTTGAAAGGTTTCCCTTCATAGTTAACATTTATTTCCGGATCTTAAAAGTGTTCAGGTAGGTCCATCATTTAGGTGTAAAGTGGAACTTCAGCGCTGCCTCTTTCCGCGTAGAAATTTGTTGCAGATCTACCTTTTAAGTTTAATTTCAGCATCGCTTGGAAACCATTTTATGGATTATAATTTTGCCACCATTGAAAGCTGGGGTTTCTCGGAACATGAGATCTTAAAGCACTAGATTTTGTTTGATTATTTATAAAGTCAAGGATTAGTTATAAATTCTTGCTAACACTTATTATTTCGACTTTATTATGACTCCTTGTATTCTTGCCTTCAAGACAGCTCATCTTTTCTAAGCAAATCGCTGGACAGCTACCAGGTAGTTCTTGACTTAACAGCAGTTTGTTTAATGACCGTTCAAAGTTACAACGGCACTGAAAGAAGCAACCTACGACCATTTTTCAGCAGTATCCCCATGGTCATGTGATCAAAATGGAGACATTTGGAAGCTGACTCATTTATGATGGTGTTCAGGGTCAGGTGTTCCCCTTTTGCGACCTGACAAGCAAAGTCAACGGGGGAAGCCAGATTGACTTAACAACCATGTTACTAACTTTAGTGATTCACTTAACAACTGGCAAGAAAGGTCATAAAATGGGGCAAAACACCCTTAACCTGTGTCTTTCACGTGACCCCCCCCCCAGGAGATGATGACAAAGGTCATAAATATGAACCAATTGTCAAGCATCCAAAGTTTGGTCACATGACCGTGGGGATGCCGTAACAGTTGCGTGAAAAGCTTTCTTCCGTGCCGTTGTAACTTTGAACAGTCTCTAACCGACTGTTGTAAAGTCGAGGACTACCTGCATTTGTTTTCATATTGAAAGGCCTTTTTGTCGTTCCAGAAGTACATAGGATTTTTTTTAAAAAAAAATTCTTTTTAACTATAGTGATCTGCGCGTTGCTAATCTCACTTCGGCGTTCTTGGGTTTCAGGTTAGCAAGTTGAAACGCCACATTCGTTCACACACCGGGGAACGCCCATTCCAGTGCAGCTTGTGCAGCTACGCCAGTAGAGACACTTACAAACTGAAGAGGCACATGAGGACCCATTCTGGTACGGATTGCGCTTCGGTGAAGATGGCACAGAGCAGCGTGTGCTGAAAGCCCCCCCTCTCCCCCTCCCTCTTTCTCTCCCCTCTCTCCCTCTCTCTCCCACTCTCCCTCTCCCTCCCTCCTCCTTCCTCTCTCTCCCTCCCTCTCCCTCTCCCTTTCCCTCCTTCTCTCCCTCTCCCTTCTCCCTCCCTTTCCCTCTCTCCCTCCCTCTCTCTCCCTTTCCCTTTTCCTCTCCCTCCCTCTCTTCCTCCCTCTGTCTCTTCCTACTTCTTCCTCTCTCTCCCTTCTCCCTCCCTTTCCCTCTTCCTCCCCCTCTCCCTCCCTCCCCCTCTCCCTCTCTCCCTCCCTTTCCCTCTTCCTCTCCCTCCCTCCCCCTCCCTCTCTCTCTTTTTAACTTTGCACGCTTTGCAATTTTGGCACTCACAATGGTAGAGTGTAACTCTACTGATCATGGTAACTCTATTGATCATGGTAGCATACTATGAGATGTAGATATCATAATTTTTACTCAGGCTCCCTGAGAACTGAGATAATTTTAAAGTTTCCTACAGAGGAAAAAGATTGAGAAAAGCTATAAGAAATAAATGAAAGAATAGCTAAATAAAAAAGGAGAATTATTTAGGAAACTGCAAACAAACAGTGTGTGCGTTGTTTGTCAGCAAAATGTACTTTTGATTTTGGCTTATATAAAAAAGACCCATATATATATCCATATATCCAAGCCCATATTCTCTTTCCCATAATCCACAGTGCCATTTCCACATCTGGGCCTCTTTGAGCTAACCGTTTCTCTCCCTGGTTCCCAAAGGTGAGAAGCCCTACGAGTGTTACATTTGCCACGCTCGCTTCACCCAGAGTGGGACCATGAAGATGCACATCCTGCAGAAGCACACGGAAAACGTGGCCAAGTTCCACTGCCCCCACTGTGACACGGTGATTGCACGAAAGAGCGATTTAGGTGAGCGTTATTGGATGCATTGAGACTCCCGTAAAAAAAGGAGAGACGGATTGTCCCAAATTCTCCCATCCAGCTTTTCATGCCAAAGGTGGGACTAATGCTCAGAGTCTCACCGTTTCCAGTTCCTTAAGCACTTAGGCCCAACTGGGTAGATCCTGGCATTTTAAAATGTTTATCCTAGCACCATCAGGCAGGAATTTGGTGGCTCAGTTAAAAATCAGCTACAGGGAAGACGTTCATATCCTTCCATCTCCTCCCCAGGTGATGATGATTTAAAGATAGAGGGTTCCACCTGACTGTCTCTTTGCAGGTGTCCATTTGCGGAAGCAGCATTCCTACATTGAGCAGGGCAAGAAGTGCCGCTACTGTGACGCCGTGTTCCACGAGCGATACGCACTCATCCAGCACCAGAAGTCTCACAAAAACGAGAAGCGCTTCAAATGTGACCAATGCGACTATGCATGCCGACAGGTAACGGACGGGCCCGCAAGGAACCCGGGATTGTCTAGATCAGGGCTTTTCAACCTTTTCACAGATTGAACCCCTTTTAGGACATGACGGTATTTGAGTACCCCCAGTGCTTAGCAAGATGTCAAAAACTTGATGACTTTTTTAAAAAAGGCAGATTTTGGGTTTTACTGATTAGATTCATTTGTTGTTATAGAAATGGCTGGTTTATAATATCATGGAAAAGTAAAACGTTGAGGTTCAGCATTAATGCCAAAGCTGGCTGAGGAATTCTGGGAGTTGAAGTCCACAAGTCTTAAAGTTGCCAAGGTTGACAACCCCTGTTCTACTGCAACAGAGGGAGTCTGTTCTTTTTCCCTTCTCCCCCTCACTTACCTCCCCCCCTTTTTCCTCCCCACTGTGTCCTCCTATTTCCTTTTGTATTTTTGTATTTTATTCTCCAATCTAATAAAATATTACACACTGTAGAAAAAAAGAAAAGAAAAAGTACCCGTTTTAATTTCTTCGGTGGCTGTTCCTTTGCTGAATCCCTTTCCCTTTGCACTGACCAACGTATGATGAATTTATCCATGTTTATTAATACGCACCACGACCAGCTAGCTCAGGGGTCTCCAACCTTGGCACTTTTAAGACTTGTGGACTTCAACTCCCAGAGTTCCTCAGCCCTCATGGCTGGTTGAGGAATTCTGGGAGTTGAAGTCCACAGGTCTTAAAGTTGCTAAGTTTGTAGACTCCTGAACTAGCTGGTTTGCCCTTCTGAGCTCTTCCACAGGGTAGTAAGAATGCACCCCCCCAATCCCTTCCCTGTACCCCTAAAGACAAAGGAATCAAGTGAAAAGCGAGAAAATAAAATAAACACAAACTACGTTTTTTCTTCTTCTCTCTTTAAGCTGCCTCAGGCCTGTCACCCGTCACAATGTTGCACTCCTAGACTGAAAGGCTCCGGCCATTGCGAAAAACTTTGGCTTTAAATTAAGCCAGTTTACCTTCAAAGAAAATTTTCTAAAAGCCACAGACAGACTCAGTTAAAGGGGGTAAAACTAATTACATTTGTTTAAAGGGATTAAACCTTTCCTGTTGGCTTTTTTCCCCTTCCCCCACCCAAACCAAATTCTTTTATAGCCTCTCCTCTCTCCCCCCTTTTTCTTCAATTCACCTCCAGCTCCAACTGCTTCTGGAAGCGCCAGTCAGCTGGAGCCCTGTCAGCTCCTGGAGCTTCTGTCCAGCCCAGACAGTCCTGCAGCTGCAGCTACCTCTCCCTCAGGCTGGGCTCGCTTCAGCTTATTCCCCTGCCCCGCTACCCTTGGCTAGCAATCGCGTACCACCTACCATGTGGCAAAGTGGTATCCGTACCACCGGTTGAAAAGCCCTGGTCTAGATCAGTTAATTTACCACCTTCAGGCTGTCTGTGGGTCCTTAACACCCCTTTGATCTCCTGCCCTCTGATTCCTTCCAGGAACGGCACATGATCATGCACAAGCGAACCCACACTGGAGAAAAGCCTTACGCCTGTAGCCATTGCGACAAAACCTTCCGCCAGAAGCAGCTGCTTGACATGCACTTCAAGCGCTACCACGATCCCAACTTTGTCCCGGCTGCCTTCGTCTGCTCTAAGTGTGGCAAAACGTTCACACGCCGTGTAAGTGCTCAAAACTCATGGGAAGATTGGGGAAGGGAGGGGGGGGAGGCGAGTGTTGCACAGAGCTCCCTGTGAAGTACCAGTAAATAAGAGAAGGAGATGGATGGGGTTTTAACACCAGTGAGTTAGTTAGCAAGACTCCCTCTGTGTTAACGGTTCTGGCAAAGCCAGAGCTCGTGTTCTGCCAATCCTGCTGTGGGAAACATCTGGGCGGCATTTGCTGCTTTTAAAAATGGGAACTGTTTTGAGGGCTGCAAAACTTCGAGGCAAGAAGAGAAGAACTGTGGTCTGGACTGGCACAGCTGCCAGCTTCCTTCCGATGGTCTCGGAGCCAAAAGCTGGGAGGGGTTTTTTCCCCTCCCACTTTTGGGAATTAAGGTTAAAGAGCAAAATGGCTGCAATTAGCCTTACGCTTGCTTTGAGACATTTGTGGGTTGTTGTTTTTTTCCTTTGCTTAAAGCTTCTGAAATCCTCCCAAACGAGCCTGGCCCCACCCAAGTTTACAGTCTGGATTTAACGTGCTACCAAGCATGGCAGAAGCGAGCCGGCTTTAATACATGCTGCTGCCTTCTGTTTTTTTTTTTTTTTTTTTTTCCCTGTGGGGCTTCTCAGAAGCTGGGTGACCCATGTCCTCCTTGGCACCTAACGTGTTATATGTTCTTGCAAATTGAAGCAGTCTGCTCAGAGGTCAGATTGCATCAAGCTTAATTCTTTATTGCTGGCACTTCCAAAAGCTGGCAATTAATGTGGATTCTTTCAAAAAAAGGGGGTGGGATTGTGAGTTCTAGTTCTGCTTTTAGGAACGGCAGCTGGATGAGTAATCGTGGGCCAGTCAGTCTCTCTCCCAGCCCCCAGAGCAGGGGTTCTCAACCTTGGCAACTTTAAGACTTGTGGACTTCAACTCCCAGAATTCCTCAGCCAGCTTTGAAGTCCACAAGTCTTAAAGTTGCCAAGGTTGAGAACCCCTGCCCCAGAGGAAAGCAAAGAGGAACATTTTCCAAACTTCAGGGACTTGTCCAAATAGTAGCCACGAGTCAAGAATGACCTGAAGGCTGTTTTTTTTTAAAAAAAAAAAAATATTTCCTGATTCACTGGAAGAGGTGGTTCAGATACCTCTCAGCATGCAGCCGACACCTAACATTTACCTGCCTTTCTTTAACCAGAACACAATGGCCAGACATGCAGATAATTGTCTAGGCCCCGATGGGGTTGAAGGAGAGAACGGAGGGGAGCCCAAGAAGGGGAAACGTGGGCGAAAGAGAAAGATGCGCTCCAAGAAAGAGGATTCTTCTGACAGTGGTAAGAAAGAGAGAAAAGCTCCAGGAACATTTTAGATCTCCTAAATTGGCCGATCGACTCATAGGCCACTGCGGATGCTGTCAGCTCTTGCACAGAATGCAAAACAGCAACTTGCCAGTAGCCACTTCCAGCTGCTCCAGTTTCTGAGCAATAGCGGGAAAACGTTGATAGAGTACAGCAAGAACCTTTAGGCCAGTGGTTCTCAACCTGTGGGTCGGGACCCCATTTGGGATCGAACGACCATTTCACAGGGGTCGCCAAACAACGCAGTCCGCCATTTTTTCCCCCTTTTCCTTAGCTGTGCTACTCCCTTTTATTCTATTGGCTTTTGAAAGCCAATAGAATAGATTCTCTTGAATAGAGTCTAATTCTATTGGCTTTCAAAAGCCAATAGGAATTGTCCAGGCTGTCTCTGCCCTGCTGAGCCCGCCAAAAATCCCATTCTGCAAACGATGCTGCACCAGTTGAGTAGTCCTTGACTTACGACCGGTTGAGTAATCCTCAACTTACGACTGGTTGGAGGTCGCGGCATTAAAAAGGTTGAGAACCACTGCTTTAGGCAGAAGGTTGAGGATAGGAGACACTCCTTCCTTCTTTCAAGAAAGCCATTGGTGTGTCTGATGTTGGGAAAAGATTTATTTTCAATATTCTGCCATTCCATCCCATTAAAAAGGTTAGGGTTAGGGGTATTGAGGTAATTGAGGTCCTTCAATTTAAAACATTCACAGAGGGAAACTAAACATAATCATGGTGTGTGCCCACTTGTACGCATACATGTTTATATGCACCCCACAGCCATCACTTTTCCATTGAAGGTTTGCAAGTCGCAAAGTAGTTTTCACCCAGCAGCAGTTAGAGTGCAGTACTGCAGGCTACTTTAGCTGACTGTATTCAGCAGGTCAGCGGTTCAAATCTCACCGGCTCAAGGTTGACTCAGCCTTCCATCCTTCCGGGGTAGGTAAAATGAGGACCCAGATTGTTGGGGGCAATGTAAATATATATATACATAGCTTACTGGTGTACACCGCTTAGAGAGTGCTCGCACTTAAAGCGGTATATAAGTCTCACAAATAAAAAAATGTCTGGCAGGGGCATTGTGGCTTCCTTCTATGGCCCAGCCACCTTTTGAATGGAAGGCTTCTTTCTGGTAGAAATATCGACACGACCGCCTTACCTAGGGGGAACCTCCTTAGGCAATTCAGGTTTTATTTTCTTCGTGGTTCGTTGCTTTGATTTTTGTCCATTGCCTTGCTCATATTAAAGAGGAAAATGCTGAACCAGAATTGGATGACAACGAGGAGGAGGAAGAAACAGCGGTTGAAATTGAGGCTGAGCCAGAAGTGGAGCCCGTGGCCCCAACTCCTCCACCGGCCAAGAAGCGGAGAGGACGTCCACCAGGCAAAGCCAATCAACCCAAACAGCCCCAGCGTAAGTTTCCATTTTTCTACCAATGGCTGCAGGGTCCAGTCATATAAATAAAGAGGAAAGTTAAGTCAGGTTGAGATGAGGAGCTTGAGGATACTGGAGGAGGCGTCTTCAGGAAAATCCCTGGTGCTGGTTTTGGATCAGATAACACAAATGACATCTGTGTGAGGCCGCCTCAGGCTGAGTTTCAGGCCTGCGTAATCCCTCCTTTTAGCAAGAAGCGCCAAGAAGATTTTGCGGTAGACAGATTTCAAGATATCCTGAGTGCAGGGCATAATTTACATCTACTGGCTGGTGCCTCCCTTTTACTTAATTATAGTTAACATTAACCCTGGTTTGAGCTTCATGTTGAACACCACTGCAAGCTGTGATTAATCTAAAATCAAGAGCAGAAGCATTTAATCTCAAGAGCAATGCAGGGGGACTCCCGTCTGGCCATTATTGTAACACCCAACTGCAGTGTGCCCTATGTGGATTTAAAACTAGACTTCTGCCTCATTGAAAAGAAGCAGCCCCTGTCTTTTAGATCCAACTTTAAGACTTCTGGACTTCAACTCCCAGAATTCCCTAGCCCTGTTTTTCTACATAATATCGTATTACGTGATTCTTGTATAACTAAGGCAAGATCAACTTAATTCAATGTATAGAATGTGTGAGTTGGAAGGGCTCATCTGGGTTGATCTAGTTCAGGGGTCCCCAGCCACCCTTGCCTTAGATCAGGGGTCTTCAAATTTGGCCTTTTTATGACTTGTGGACTTCAACTCCCAGAATTCCTCAGCCCTGTTTTCTACATCATATTGTATTATGTGATTCTTGTATAACTAAGGCAAGATCAACTTAATTCGATGTGAGTTGGAAGGGCTCATCTGGGTTATCTAGTTCAGGGGTCCCCAGCCACCCTTGCCTTAGATCAGGGGTCTTCAGACTTGGCCCTTTTATGATTTGTGGACTTCAACTCCCAGAATTCCTCAGCCAGGCACGCGTGCCTGGCTAAGGAATACTGGGAGTTGAAGTTCCACAAGTCATAAAAGGGCCAGGTTTGAAGACCCCTGCCTTAGATGCTGTGACATTCTGATTTCTCCCCTGTTTGCTTTATCCTTTAGCCACAGCAATCATTCAGGTGAAAGACCAGAACACTGGTGCAATTGAAAACATTATTGTGGAAGTGAAGAAGAAGCCCGAAACAGAGACTGTCGTGGCCACTCCAGGAACTCAGCCAGCCGCAGTGGAAGCGCCCAATGGAGACCTCACCCCAGAGATGATCCTTAGCATGATGGACCGGTGATGGAGGAAGGGTTTAACGCTCTTAACTGAACTGGCTTGGGCTCTTTTGAACTGGCTCAATCCATTTTATTTTATTTTATTTTATTTCCTTCTTACCTTATTTTCGGCTTTTGGAAATGCATCATATATATATTTTTTTTTAAAGACCATTTTACCAAACAACCTGGGAAACAAAACTTCAAATGATGATAGGATGTGATTTGCCTAGAACATTCTCTCTCTGTGTCTCTTTCTCTCTCTCCCCCCTCCCCTCCCCCCCTCTGGGTTTAATGTTAACCTAACCGGATCATGCAACATGGGGTGATTTTAATTTTAATTTTTTTAATTTTCTGGTTGATTTTCTGAGTTCCTAAGGGTGTTTTGCAAATCACTCAATCCAGTTAACTGTTAGTGCCAGGCCGTGGTTGGCCTTCTCTGTCTGGAGCTTATCCAGGCTGTTCTGGAGCTGTTTATGCATTTCTAGAAGCCCCTGGCTTCCTTTTTTTTTCCCCCTCTGTCTAGAGATTTTTAATTGTAAATTTGGACTCAGGAGGGTTGTAAAGCTCATATTGCATTTTAGTTTTGCTTTTTCTTATCTGATCCCGCTCTCCCTCCCCCCCCCCCCCCCGCGTGCCATGTCAGCACTGTAGGTTCAGCATGCTTCACCCCCATCTCTCTCAGATGCTTTGCTTTCTGTAGGGCATCTTTGTAATGATCAAGCTTGTAAATAACTTTTTTTTTTTACATTTTAATCTTTTTTTCCATTTAAGAGGTTTTTGGGGTGGGGTGGGGCTTATAGTTTAAAAGGAAAACCCTGTCATTTTTAACTATTGCAACGAGGAATTATGCAGGAATTGGTACCGAATAAAATACTGGAACCTATCAAGTCAGTGGGAGAGTGCAAGCTGGGGTGAAGAGTGGGAGACACCCACATCCCAGCTCAGTTTATAAATACATGAACTTGGTCTCAAAGCGTGTGTGTCCCTTCAAAAACACCCTCTTGAGTTTCAAGTTGTCACAACTGTTTTCTTTGCTCTCTTTTCTTCTCTCTCACTCTCTTTTTTTTTTTTTTTGGGTGTGTGTGTGTGTGTGTGTGTGTGTGTGTGCGTGTTTATAAATTCTGTGTTAAAAGCCAAGGTGTTAATTTGTAATAGGGCTTCCCAGCCCGCGAAAACCTAGGGCAGGAAATTTTACTAGGTCAGTGATCATAAAATTTGGGGTCTAATTAAAATTTAAAAAAGAAATAAATGAATAATGTGAAATTTAAAAAAAAAGGATGCCTGTATATCAAAACCATCACATGTTAAAACGTGTAAAGCTTTTTTTAGAGCCTCAGTCTTGCTGATTTCAGAACCAAGAACTTTTTGTTCTATGTATCGCTTTTAAGAGAGCTATCAGGTTAGCTATCCAATTCTAGGTTGATGCATTTTTGTACTTAGCTGTACTGTGTGATATTTTTCATTATTTTAGGAAACCAACATGAAATAAAACATCATAAGACGTATAACGGGGTTTGGACTATGGGAAGGAGAATATACTGCTGTACAGCTAATAAATAATAATGATTATCCACTGCTTGCGTGAGTTTGTATGTGCTTTCTAGTTTTTTGGGCATTCCTCACCGGGGGGAGGGGTGTCAATTTTAGCAAATAAATCTAGACAGCATACTAAAAAGCAGAGACATTACCCTGCCAGCAAAAGTGCGTGTAGTCAAGGCCATGGTTTTCCCAGTTGCAATGTATGGCTGTGAAAATTGGACCATAAAAAAGGCTGAGCCCAAAGAATGGAGGCCTTTGAACTATGGTGCTGGAGAAGACTCCCGCGAGTCCCCTGGACTGCAAGGCGATCAAACCAGTCAGTCCTAGAGGAGATCAACCCCGACTGCTCTTTAGAAGGCCAGATCCTGAAGTTGAAACTCAAGTCCTTTGGCCACCTAATGAGAAGGAAGGACTCATTGGAGAAGAGCCTAATGCTGGGAAAGATTGAAGGCAAGAGAAGAACGGGACGACAGAGAATGAGGTGGCTGGATGGAGTCACCGAAGCAAGACGCGTGAGCTTAAATGGACTCCAGAAGATGGTAGAGGACAGGAAGGCCTGGAGGAACATTGTCCATGGGGTCGTGATGGGTCGGACACGACTTTGCAACTAACAACAGAATGGGGCACATCTTGTTTTTTGGGGGTAGGGAGGAGAAAGTTTTTCTTATTAAAGACACGCATTTTTTATACATCTCAATTTGTTGTCTGTTGCTTGTCCCTTTGGGGCACCTTTGTATATACAGTAATATGAATAAGAACTGTGCATAGTTATGGAGATGTGCAATGTTCCATGATGCATGATATTCACGCCAAAATGCAATTAAGGCTTATTGTTTTTGTAAGAAAAGAATATCTCGGTAGGGATTGGGCATAAAATATCTGAGAGTGCCATTGAACCTGGAAACACCCATTTAAAAAAAAAATAGTTCAAAAATGGACAAAACATTGAGAGACTCTTCCATTTCTACCTTAAAGCTTGCTTGAGAGTGCCAAAACCTTGCAAGATAATAAAAGTATAGTTGGTTTCTAGAAATCTCACAAGGTTTTGTGTGCATTTTTTGGCACGTCTACAAACATGCAGACTCTGGTTTGGGGCCATTGGTACTTCCTCAGAACTTGGCTGTCCTTCACAAAAATCCAGTTGGACTTTTTATGCAAATCAAACTAGCTTCTTCGCTCAAAACTGCTTTCAGGTTTTCCTTACTTGAGTTGCCTTGGACATGTGTTGATACAGAGGTCTCCAACCATGGCAACTTTTAAGACTTGTGGACTTCCAACTCCCAGAATTCCTCAGCCAGCCATCCTGGGAGCTGAAGTCCCCAAGTTTGGAGAGTGCCTATTTTAAGAAAACGTCATTTCCCCAAGAGTGCTGCAGTTTCCACTTTTGCTGTCTGGAAGATTGAACTTTTTATTCTTTCAAAGTGGGGGGTGGGGTGGGTCAAGAAATACACAAGATCTGCCATGAACATTGCAAAGCCTAATCCATGTTTGGACTTTTCTGAATTGCTCCAGTGTTTTGCTTTGATCATTTTATTTAGAAGAACCTGACGATGGAGAGTAGGATTAAAGCTGAGATGTCATCGTTCTAGCCATTGTCTATCCACTGCAGGATGAAGGCTTCTTCTGCATGTTTCCAACCAATACAGCCCTGAGTTTTTCTTTGCCAATTGGGCCCGCAATACTTGCTGACATCATCGATCCATCTTGTTTTAGGTCCCTTTTTGTGGACGCTTTTGATCAAGTGGGATCCATTCTATGACCTCTTGGGTCCACCTGCCCTCATCCTTCTTGCTATGTGACCAGCCTGTTTCCATTTGAATTCTTTTACTCTCTTGATGATACTATATACTTTCGTTTGTTCTCTAATCCATGTGCAGGTCTTCCTGTCTTGTCTTGTAATGCTGAGCGTGTATCTTTCCACAGCTCTTTGCACTAAGATATTATTACTAGAATATTCTGGATGATTGACAGTTAATTAACACTGTTTTCTAAGGAGAAGGAAGCTGAAGCCTGAGCCTTGCAAAACGAGAATAAAGAACGTATGTTCCACAGATTTTATTCCTTGCGTGCTTTTTGCCATCGTTCCTAATTCAAAAAGGGTTGCATTTTTATGCTTCTGTATTAAACATCAAACAGAATTCTAAGCCTGGAAAATAGTGCAAATTTAAGATAGTGTTTGTTAATTTGTTAGCAACAGAAAATAAACATGCTCTTAAGAACAGTTTGAGATTTGTTTCTGAGTCATATTGTTGCAGAGCTTTGCAATAATTCAGTAAGGGAAGATGAAGCTCGACAATCTTAATCCGCTGCTTCATATTAGTTTATCATGTGAACTCCAGCCATTATACTGTGGTTATTTCAATAAGAGTGGTTAAACTTTTCAGAGCTTAATGTGACCTTTGAGCCTAGCCTGTATTGGGATTATGAGAAAACTCTTCGGAGATTTCTCTGACTCCGTGTAGTCAAGATACTAAATGTTAACAGCTTTGGGTGATGGATTAAAATTCTGTGTTCACTGACTCTGTGCTGTTCGCAACTGAGCAAATTAAATACTCCATGTATCGTCCATATATTGAGGCTCAGCAAATTTTTCATTAAATCTGTTGTGATTGCCTGTTTTGAACTTCAAAAGCAAGGTTTTGGTTTCTAAGCATATATTACTAAGTATGAAAAATAATCTTACTAGACCAGACCAAAAGGCCCTATTTTTCTACATTCTATCATATTTGGTGGTTCTTGTATAACTGAGGCAAGGTAAAAATTAATTAAATTCATAGAATGTATAAGCTGAAAGGTTTCTTCTAAGATCTAAGCCAAGGGTGTCCAAACATGGCTTTTAGATTTGTAGACTTCAGCTCCCAGAATTCTCCAGCCAATGATGCTGGCTAAGGAATTCTGGGAATTGAAGTCCACAAATCTTAAAACAATTGCCGAGGCTGATCTAATCCAACATAAGGTTCAGTAGAGAAATTTATCTTGAGAGCTTCTGACCCCTGCTTCAAAATCTCCAGCAAAAGGGAGTTCACCACTGTTTTAACAGACTTCCACTGCTTTAAAGAAAATTTACCATCAGCAAATTATTTGGTTTTCAGTCTGAATATCATTTCTTTTAAATTTACCCTGCCTTTGGTTTCAATAGAGTGGTGATTGGACCACTTGCATACAACCACCTTTTAGAAAATTATAGATTTGTACAATACCTTTGCAGGGGGTTGGACTAGATGACCTCCAAGGTCCCTTCCAACTTTACTACTATTATTATTATTCTCTTCCAGCTTAAAGTGGTCATTTCTTCAACCATTACTCATACGGCCTGATTACTAGAACCCCTTCACCTTAGTAAGTTTCCTCTGAGCTTACTCTGATTTCTCCATTCTTTAAAAGGTGGGGCCATGAAGTCTGCAGAGTTGAATGAAATTAAAGCAAATTATGTATTTGTAGGAAGTCCATAAAACAGTCAGGAATTAATTGCCCTCCTGTATTGTTCCCAGAGCTTTTCTAGAACTTTCACACCCTAATTGTAGAAGCCATTAGCCGGTGCTAGCAGGTCAACTTCCAAAATGTTCTTCAGAAATGGAGTATCAGAACACACACACACACACACACACACACACACACACACACACACACGGGGGGGGGGGAGGAGGATAAAGTTTGTCATATTTGTTAACATCTCCAAGCAGAACGAGGACGCCTCAAATTTAAAAGGATTGAAACTGCTTTGTCAGTAATCCAGAGACCCACCAATCAGAGCCCATAGTTTAAAATATTTTTAGCATTAAAGATTTCTGAATCCAGGTGTGGGTTTTGAGAATTAAACTGAGCCCAACACCAACAGAACTATCTAGCTCCTGGTAAACTCCAGTTTTCACAAGGACATAGAGGTTTGTTAGCTGAGTGAAAATAAAACCCTTGGCGGTTTACTGGGGCATTTGAACAATTTGTGGATTCCAATCTGTTTTAGCTTAGCTTATATCCCAAATTATGGTGTAATTAGCTCCTGAATCCCTAAAAGGAAGCATGCCTATCCAAGAGGGGAGCATATGTGATATTTTGTTGTTGTTGGGAGACCTTGCTATGAATTTGGCTTATCTTACAAAGACAAAGTCTGGCTTTCCAGAGGCTGTTGAATTACCTCAGTAATTCCCCTCAGTAAGGAAAGATGCTGGAACTTGTAGTTCAGCAATTTCTAGAGAGTCATTTACTTTTCCACCACTAATTGCTCTTGAAGCCTTCAACAGTTGGGGGAATAATAGTAGAAGGCAGGGGTCTTCAAACTTGGCCCTTTCATGACTTGGGGACCTCAACTCCCAGAATTCCTCTGCCAGCTTGCCTCGCTGAGGAATTCTGGGAGTTGAAGTCCACAAGTCATAAAAGGGCCAAGTTTGAAGACACCCCCCCCCCCCAATAGAAGGCAAGGTTCAGTTTGCTGTTATGCAGGAGAGATGTGGTGCTTCAGATGTCCCTGTTTCCATTCATCAAACGGGCTGCTTAATTAGTCATTTATCTTAATGCAATGAGCTGTTGACTTTGCATACGGTGTAGGAGGACAAGTAGCTTCCCACCTGTGGTGCTCTGCTCTCCTCACTTACTCTTGCAAAATGCACCCTTGGTGTCTGCTTCCCTGCTCAGGGCTTACTTTAAGTTGAAGTGGCTGGAAGACAGGAAGAGGCATTTCAAGGTAAGGGGAGGAAAAAAAAAAAGGAGGTAGACAACACATACTGTCATCTTGTGCCTTGCTAACTTGCTGTGCCTGACAGAAACACCACTTCCTTCCAAGTAGGTCTTTGCAGAAGGTTAGAAGATGGCTGCCTCCTTCAAAGAGAGATCTGCAGAACTGCATGGTAAGCAAGTCCTCTCTTTTTTCTTTTTTTGTCCTACTCAGCATGAGCAAAGAAGGCCAGGAGACGGCTACGATTGCTCGTCTTCAGGAGGCCAGCTTAAGACAAAAATCCTCTATCTTTTTGGTGTCCCCAGAAACGGAGAATCTGAGCTTAGTTTCGAAGCTGACATATTTGATGGGCTTATTTGTTAG